AAAATTGATTCTTCCCTTCTCTGCAAGTATATACACACCCTATCCTCTTTCACAGCTACAAAGCACCCCCTTTAAAAGGATAAGTACAGACCCTTAATTCCAACAGGAAGTGAGGGCAGAGGAGAGGATGGAAAGAAGAAGGTGAAAGGTAGTGGACAGGAAAGGCGGAGGGCAAAACATCTTAAAAAATGCCTGCTCTCAGTAGTTTGGGATCCTCACTGATTTACAGCTGTGTTTCTCAACTTGAAGATGCAAGATTCAAGTTCAAGAAAGCTAAAAGGTGTTCACAACATCAAAGGCAGAAAGCAGACAGACTCTCCCTTAAAACATATTTAATAACTTAAAGCAGGCTTGGAAAAAATGTGGTAAGTTTTTGCAAAACATCTGGGAGGCTGCCGCTTCTATCTGGAACTGTTCTACGAATCAGTCTCAGACATTTTTTTGCTGATCAGCTAGCTACAAGGCGAAAGCAAAACAGAATAGCTACTCACACTTCACAAACTTCTTTCACAACTGCTGACAAGGGCTTAGCCTGCAATTAAACATAAACAGCATGTGACCATTTCAACATGATTTGAACCTTAAGCAGAGCTGGTGCACGGAGCATAAAATTGTGTACCTCTGAGCTGGCACAGCTCTTCAACAGGCAATTTTGCAAACTGGTAAAAAAGGGAAAAAAAGGAAAGAATCTCTACCTGGTTCAGTTCTATGAGCTGGGGAATGGCACCCATCATCTGCACGGCAATTTTGACCACATCTTTGGAAGGTGGCATGGTCTGCCTTTCTCTTGGTTGACCGGCAGGTCCTTCCTGCAAAAACGTGCAGAAGGTCCCTCATCACATATAACCACAACAGGGATCAGAAGGGAGAAATCCTATCCAGGCATCGGAGAAGTTTATTGCTAAGATAATTGATAATTGTGTTTTGCCTGTGATATCTTAAGTTTGCTTAGTGACTGTTCAAAGTTACACTGGCACTGAGAAAAAAATGACTATTTTTCACACTTATGATTGTTGTAGCATCCCCGTGGTCATGTGACTGACATTTGGGTGCGTAACAACAGACTCACATTTATGACAGTCGCAGTGTTCCGAAGTCACGTCGATCCCATTTTGCGGCCTTCTGACAAGCAAAGTTGATGGGGGAGCCAGATTTGCTTAACAGCCATGTGACAAACTTCACCGCAGTGATTCACTTAGCAAATGTGGCAGGAAAAGTCATAAACTGGGGGGGCAAGACTTACTCAACAAATGTCTCACTTAGCAACATAAAGTTTAGGTTCGGTTGTGGTTGTAAGTTGAAGATGACTTGAATATGCAAAGCTGGGCACTTGTGCAATTGACACACTTGGGAAACTGATTCACAAAGTGCATGCGGACAAGATCTGTGCACTGGCTTAAGCAGGAGGCACCAAGCCCTGAAATTGCACAGGGATGTGCAAACTGAACTGAAAATGGACTTGCGTGCCTCTGTTAAGCTTCTATGAACTTATGTTCACGTTATACCAAATAGTTCCAATTGCATCACCTGCAAAGGAAAAATAGATTGGTTGCCACAGTAACCAAGTAGCCCTCCTTTAGAGATTCAGACGGTGATGGAAAAGTAACTTTGCGACCGGTCCTCACATTTATGGCCTTTGCAGGTCTGTAAAGCAAAGCAAAAACCTGGAATAAGATCATAAGCACAGTGGAGGTTTCACTTAGCAATCACTTCACTTAATGCACAAGTTGCCAGTCCCTAAAGAGGTCACTAAACGAGGATTACCTATAATTGGTGTCATCTTCCCTTCCCTTGCATGACTGAAGGGGGTTTTAAGGAGAGAAAAGGTCAAGCCTTCACTGACCTAAGAGGCCCCAATCCCAGGAAAAGACTCGGCTGCTTTCAAGAGTTGCAGACAGGCGCGATCTTGGTGCCTTTTTAGAATCAAATTTGAAAAGCGGCGGAGCTTTGCTACAAACCATCATTGCTCACTTGTTCCCCTGAGCTTGGCATGCAAATGGGGGAGGGAAGGAGAGGAGAAAGAGGAAAGTCACTCCAAGTCATATCTGCAGAGCCACTGCCGAGAATTTATTAGTCGGAGGGGTGGAGAGTTAACTAGAAACCCACAAATGGATCTACTTCTAGGAACCAGCCCTAACTTAATGATTAAAATTAGAGTTTGTCACTTGGATGATTCAAGATACTTCCTCTTAATTCCACGTAGAGCTGGCTTGCTTGGCATTCTTCCACCAAGCGTCTATGGAGGGCGAGACCTAACTTAAATACCTTAACTTAAAAATCTTAATAACTTAAGCCTCCAGCACCAAATTCACGCAATCCCTTTGATCCTCACTCTGCTCGACCCCCTCCCACCTCCCCACCCCCCAAAAAATCCCTTTGGCTCATCTTTTGCTTCTGGCAAGCACAGCCCAGGAGACGGCTCAGCCTCGCCAGGCCTGCCATTTCCAGCCCAGCCTACCTTACAGGGCTCCACGGGAGGGGGGCCAGCTGCCTTTCGTGGGGAAGAAAAGGCCGAGGGGAGCAAAAACAGCTGGAGGAGGCAGCTTCAGAGGGGAGCCAGACCGGGCCAACAAGAGCCAGAAACTCGCCCGCAGGTCTCCCCCGCCCCGTTTTTCTCCCCTCCCCCCCAAAAAAAACTTTGGAAAAAGAAGGAGCTGCGGGACTCCCCGAGACTGCAAAGTCCTCTTACGCGTCGGCCAGCAGCTGCCCGAGCCTTCCCGGCTCCGGGGGGGAAACAGGGGCGCCCCCGCCTCCTCCGCTTCTTAGCTGGGGCTTCCTCCGTCCATCCGTCCGCGCGCTCGGGCCGGGGATCAAGCGGCGCGCTCCAGGCTGGGAAGGCAGCAGCCGCGGCGGCCCAGGAGAACCCGGCCCGGCCGGGCAGAGGCGCCTGCAAGCCGGCGGGCGCGGAGGAGAACGGCGGGCGCCTCCTTGGCCGAGCAGCGCTGGAGAGACGCGAGTGAGCGCGCAGCAACAGCCGCCCCCGCCGCCGCCTCCTCCCCCGCTTGGCCGCCCGTCCTTCTCCCGCTCGGCGCTCGGCAGTTCCGGGGCGGTGGCCGGCCAGGCTGCCCGCCTTCGAAGGAGGACGGCCGTCTCCGCCCCTGGGCCGGGAAGACAGGAGGGGCTGGACGGACGGTCGGACGGTCGAGCAGCGGCGCGGAGCTTCCCGGACCGAGCCTGTTGCGCGCGCCCAGCACGTGCGGATGCAGCTCCGGGCAGGTCCGCGAGCGTCGCGAGGCTTCGTCCCGCTAGCCGACGCCGTTCTGGCGTTGCTTTTAGAGGGTTACGTGAACTGGCTAACCGCGGGCCGGTCTTTCGAGCTCAGGGCTGTTTCTTCAGCTGCATTCATTCATTCATTCATTTATTTATGAGACTTATATACCGCTTTAAGTGCAAGCACTCTCTAAGCGGTGTACACCAGTAAGCAATGTATATGTATATATATTTACATTGCCCCCAACAATCTGGGTCCTCATTTTACCTACCCCGGAAGGATGGAAGGCTGAGTCAACCTTGAGCCGGTGAGATTTGAACCGCTGAGGAGCCTTTTGCAGCCTTTCCTCCAAATGGTTCCTCTCTGGGATTGTACTACGTGCACAGTGTTTCTCAACCTTGACCATTTTAAGGCATGTGGACTTCAACTCCCAGAATTCCACAGCCAGCAATGCTGGCTGTGGAATTCTGGGAGTTGAAGTCCACATGCCTTAAAATGGTCAAGGTTTGAGGCCCATCACCTCCTTAGGGCTGCCCAGCTCTTGGCCCTTGGTCAGGAGAAGGTGGGGCCGAGCAATCACCCCTGTTCAGACTGGCCGGCAGATGCAGCTTCTGGCTGGCAGAGGAAACGAGCAGCTGGCTTGCTGGGGGCCAGTCACAGACCCTCCACAGGCAGCCTTTAGTCCTCTTTGCAGAGCTACAGGGGTCCCACAGAGGCGGTCTCTTCTTGACACAATCCTTTTGAGGTGCTCCAGTCTTCCCAGGCGTAAAGTCCAGGCCATGGTTTTCCCAATTGCAATGTAGGGCTGGGAAAGTTGGACCGTAAGAAAGGCTGAGCGCCAAAGAATGGAGGCCTTTGAACTATGGTGCTGGAGAAGACTCCTGCGAGTCCCCTGGACTGCAAGGCGATCAAACCGGTCAGTCCTAGAGATCAACCCTGATTGCTCTTTAGAAGGCCAGATCCTGAAGTTGAAACTCAAGTACTTTGGCCACCTAAGAAGGAAGGACTCACTGGAGAAGAGCCTAATGCTGGGAAAGATTGGGGGCAAGAGAAGGGGACGACAGAGAAGGAGGTGGCTGGAGGGAGTCACTGAAGCAGGAGGCATGAGCTTATTGGACTCCAGAAGATGGTAGAGGACAGGAAGGCCTGGAGGAACATTGTCCATGACTTCACAATTAACAGCAAGAAGTCTTCCCAGTCTCATACTGGAGTTGTTCCATCTTCCCATGATGGGTCTCTGGTCCTTGCTTGATGCTAAGCCCTCACACAGCGGATTAATGCCAGTTCTGGGGTTTCCAAGTTTGAAGACCCCTGATTTAAGGAGAGTATTTTCCTGTGTTGCTCTCTCCCACTTGATGTTTTCTGGATGCAGTGACTGTTCCTGCTCCATCGCCCAGAGAAGGAATGTTGTAAAAGCCTCATTTGTGTGTTTTCTAGAGATTGTTGGTCCCACACCAAATTGGACCCCAGATCTTGTGCTATGTTTCAGTAGTTCAATTCTGGAATCCTTTTTAACGGCTTGTGGAGTTATTTCAATCCAAGCAGATAGCAGTTCTTTGTATGCTCCTTATGTAGGATCCAGGGTTTTATTCCACTCCCGCCTTTTATCCGCAAGTATTCATAAGCCTACCTGGGATCCCAAAAAGGCTACCTGAAAAGAAGGACCCTGGCAGTCAGGTGCCAAATCTTAAAAACAGTCTCCGCTCAGGATTTTTTTGTAGTTCCAAGATGGCAAATGTGCTGTGGAGGGTATGAATTGCATTCTTCGAAAACAACAGAGGCAAAAAGCTTTGGAAAGTTTGTTTATTCACTCAGGAAAAAAAAAAACAACAACTGTACAAATATTACAGGCAAGTCTCTTCTGCTGCAAAAAAGTATAAAAATAATCTTTTTATATGAATCAAAACTCATTTCTCTCCCTTCCCCCACCCCAAACATTTCCTCCATGCATCCTTTCGGGATGTCACCTAAGGGGTCAGAGCACAAGAAGGTGACAGCAAAGAGAAACGAAGGCTCGGCTGCTAAACAACAGCAGGCCCAACCACGTAGAAAAAGCTGGGAGGGGATGCAATGAAGGCGGGCAACAGAGTCCTGTGGCTCGCTGGGCAAAGCCACACAGAGCTGGAAGAACAGCTCAGAAAACTTGGAGGTGGAACCGTGTCCTTTCAAGAGAGGTGAACGGGACTCCCGAGGTTTTTTGAGATCATCACCTGCCCGGAGGCAGAGATAGATGCTCCGAGGCTGGAGAGGTGGAAAGCAACATTCTATTTCCGATGCAGAAAAAACCCAAAAGTTGCTTTCCTGCACCCTTTTAGCCCAGCGTTTTCAATCTTGACAGCTTAAAAGATGGGTGGACGTCAACTCCCAGGATTCCTCAGGCAGTATGGCTAGCTGGCGAATGCTGAAAGTTGAAGTCCACCCATCTTAAAGCGGTCAAGGATTGAGATCGGTGGCTTTCGTCGGAGTCTTAAAGAGACCACCCAGCTTTGCCTAGGTCTCCTTAATGACAATAGAAACATTCCCTGATTGGGTGGTTTGGGAGGGGGGGGGAGAGAGAGAGAGATCAGGATCAGGCCTCTCCGCTCGTGTGAATCCTTCCACAATACTAAGCACACTTCATCCAGTCCCTTCAAAAAGAGATTTTTCAGCCAAGCAGTTCAGCGCTGGGATGCGAGAGAGCTCCCCCTTCGGATCTACACCCTTCCCATCCCAGCAGCCGCACTGGAGGCAGTGGGCCTTTGTCAACTGGGACGGCACGTGCGGAAGCCTGAGAATCGGGAAAGTGACATTCGGGGTTGGCACGTGGCGTAACCCGGATGCTGACGGGCGGTGAAAAGGATATAGTTTTCGAGGGAGAGATGTCCAGAAGTGCAGAGGGGAGGATACAGGGCAGGGGTAGGCCACCTTAGCTCTTTTATGACTCGTGGACTTCAAACTCCCAGAATTCCTGAGCCAGCCGTGCTGCGGGGAAAGGGAGAGGTTTCCAAGCGGAGCCAGGCTGGCTCAGGAATTCTGGGAATGGAAGTCCACGAGTCATAAAAGAGCCGAGGTGGCCCACCCCTGGTATAGGGGAAGCGAGGGCTCCTTCCATGTGCTGCTGGTCAGCAAGGATCAGGAGAGGTTCTTGATGGAGGAGGCCGATGGTGCCTATCGGAGAGAAGGCGGGAAACGGCAGGCCATGGCTAGGTTCCCAGGAGAAGTCGGATTTCATCAACAGGACTGGCAACGTAATACAGCTAGCAAATTGCAACGGGAAACAGCAGCCCCCGTGCATCCCAAAAAGCCCTATTCTAGCAGCTATGGAAGGACAGGCTTTCAGGACTCACTTCACTAGGGGGAGGGGGGTGACTAAATCTCCTCCATTGGAGGCTCCCGATGGAGACGTGGGGGCCTTGAAAGAAAGAGAGGAAGAGAGCCTCCCATTAGCCCCAGCCAGCTCTTCCCTTGCTGATGCAGCACAGCTGCAGATGGGGGGGGGGACGACAACCCAGGACAGGTGTGCAAGAGGCTTTGTGTGGCCAGCAGGCAGGTCCACCTACTTGAAGCCTGAACTGTGTTTTGCGCACCCTTTACAAATCATTTCTCCGTTTTGACTCTTTGGAGGAAAGTGACTGTGCAAAACTGGCACCTTAAAAACACACACACACGCACGCGCACACACACACACACATATGATAAGTCTACACAGCCTAAAAAGGAAAGGGCTCCGTGCTTCGTGTTAACAGATGGGCCAGTAGGGTTACTTGAAACGCCACTTCTAAGCACATAAAACCGATCCAGGGAGTGGCTGAGAGGCCTGCATTCCATCATGCCAAAAGCAGACAATTGCTGAAGAGAGAAACGTCGTCTGGATTATACAAACAAGCCAAAAGAGAGGGTCAGGGATGGATTTTCCTAAAAAAAAACTACCTGGCTACGGTTTGGCTGTTCTGTTGGTTGGTAACCAGAAAGGAAGAAGGAAGGAAGGGGGGTGGAAGATGCAAAGTGCCCCCAGCAGTGCAGGGATGCCCAAACAGGCTAGGGGGGACTCAAGGAAGCACTTTTGCTGTTCGTCAAGGTTCAACAGGAGGTGCCTGGGAAGGAGATCCACCCAGGATCCAGTGAAAGGGGAAGGACAGGACCAAGATTAGTCAGGGAAGAAGAAGAGGGAAAAAAAAAAAAAAGCTGGAGACGAAGCTCCCATCCTCGTTGGTTTTCGGTCTATACCAGAGCAGCTCTGTGTTCCATTCAAACAGTAGCAGACAAAGAATCCAAAATGAAAACTTGGGGGCTTTCCCGCACATTCCCTCCAGACAGGTTTGTTTCTTAAAAAAAAAAATTAAAAAAGAAATCCGTGTCCCAAAGTCCATCCTGGCAGCCAAAGTCAAAGGTTGAGGATCGGGACATCGAAAAGGTCGCACACCCCTTCGCTCTCGTCCAAGTTGTAGATGTAGTCGTGGTCTCCGGGAGGGGGGGAAAGGCGGAGTAAGGGTGCAAACACTGCCCGGGAGAGAAAAGGAGACACTTAGGAGACATCTTAGCCCAGGGGTAGGCCACCTTGGCTCTTTTATGACTGGTGGACTTCAACTCCCAGAATTCCTGAGCCAGCCACGCTGAGGGGAAAGGGAGAGGTTTCCAAACTGAGCCATGCTGGCTCAGGAATTCTGGGAGTGGAAGTCCGCGAGTCATAAAAGAGCCAAGTTTGAAGATCCCTGGTTTAAATATTTAGATATTTTTCCTCACAGTCATGTGATCATAATTCAGGCATTTGGGCAGGGGTAGGCAACCTTGGCTCTTTTATGACTGGTGGACTTCAACTCCCAGAATTCTTGAGCCAGCCATGCTAAGGGGAAAGAGAGGTTTCCAAGCTGAGCCAGGCTGGCTCAGGAATTCTGGGAATTGAAGTCCATGAGTCATAAAAGAGCCAAGGTTGCCTACCCCTGGCTTAGCCCAAGGTTTCTCAACCTTAGCAATCTTAAGACGTGTGGACTACGATTCCCAGAATTCCCCAACCAGCCACGCTCAACTAAAACAATGCAGATTTTTTTTATAGCTACTCTCTCTCGTTTTCTCGGCTATCCTGTGTGGCCTCACTCCAAACCTGTGAGTTGAAGAAATGCAAGTCCTACCTTCAGATGACATCAGCTCTTCCAGCAACTCAGAATTCACAGACTCTACGGGAAGAATAAAAATAATTTTAAAAAAAAAGAATGCGCGGGAAGTTTACGGGCTTGCGAAATACCTGCGTGCCTATCCCAGTACCCCAAAATTGAGGGTGTAATTCTTCCAGCCCAGCTCCTTCTGTCTCATGTCTCAATTCTCTCCTTTCTTGACTACGTATGAGTAATTGGGCAGATCCTGCAGGGTCCTGCACGAGCAACATCAAAACAATGCGTTTTTAGCAGCTGCTGCTTCTTTCCCCCCGGGGGGGGGTGGAATTTGCTGTATGAATGTAACACGTTCAAATGTTTTAATCTTTCGGCACGTAAAGTCTTCCTTAGAAGCAGAAAACCAGCACGAGAGAGCTAAGCCAAGAAAAGTGCTTCCTTCCGTTGCTATTCCGCAAGAGCCCAACAGAGAGCCTTAACCAAGTTTGCTTAAAGTAGTCTGAACTTTTCTGAACTTCCAAAGGAAAAAAAAAGGCAAAGCACAAACACTGCTACAGGGACACTAGCAACGCACCTCTGGTTGGCTCAAACATTTCTGAAAGCTCTTTGGGAAATTCCAGTACTGGAAAAAAAAAAAAAAGAACAAAGGTTGCACATCTTAAAGACCAATGCGATTGTTATGGCACAGGCCGGGTCTTCTTTCCAACCTGACGTCCTTCAGATGATTGGGGATTCAATTCCCCACAGGAATAAAGATGGGAATTCTGCAAACAGTAATCCCAACACATACAGGAGCCCAGGGAGGGAAAAAGGCCAAGGTACAATTCCAGAAACTGCAGTCTGCTAAGAGTTCTTGTTTTTATGTCACTCAAAGATTCCCATTGTCTACAGCAGTGTTACTCAGCCTTTAAGCCAGGGGGTCTTCCAACTTGGCCCTTTTATGACTTGTGGACTTCCAACTCCCAGAATTGGAAGCTGGCTGAGGAATTCTGGGAGTTGGAAGTCCACAAGTCATAAAAGGGCCAAGTTGGAAGACCCTTGCTTTAAGCTGGGTGGACTTCCAAGTCCCAGAATTCAGGCTGGCTGGGAAATTCTAGGAGCTGAAATCCACATATCTTAAAGCTGTCCTGGTTGGGAAACACTTATCTACACAGCTCATTTCTCTGGTTATTCATCGCTTCCTCGATCTCTGCTCCATTTTTAGCAGAACGTCTGAGAAAAGGAGCCAGTACACACTGTCAAACACACCAATGGGCTTGGCACTAATAACACCCCATATCCAGGTACAATGCAGGGGTCAGAGCCAAACAAACTCAGCCTCCGGGTCTGTCTGTTCTGATCCATCGTAACTGCCCCCCCCCCGAGAGCTGTCAGCCCGGAGCACTTACTTTCTGTGGGGAAGGACTTGATTGGTTCAAAAGAGGTGAAGGAACTGGAGAGGACAGAGCTGCTGTCCAGCAAGGCGGAGGACTGGAGAGGCTGCGTATCAAGCCCAGCCGGTGGGCTGACTGGTACCGTCGAAGGGGTAAGCGAGTCCAACCCCTCACCGCTTTTTGATTCTGTTGTCGGGTTGCCTGTCTCTGCAGTGGGAAGATGGTCACAGAAAGATAAAGATATATTATTTCAACTTGCATGCCGCTCGATGATCTATCGTGCCAGATGGATTCCACACAGCTGGGGGAAAACAGCTGGCCCTCCCATAGCAACAGTCAGGAAATGTACTTTAAGTTCCAATTCCTCTCTTGTAAAGCAGTGGTTCTCAACCTTTTTAATGCCGCGACCCCCCAACCGGTCGTAAGTCGAGGACTACTCAACTGGTGCAGCACCGTTTGCAAAATGGAACTTTTGGCGGGCTCAGCAGGGCAGAGACAGCCTGGACAATTCTTATTGGCTTTTGAAAGCCAACAGAATTAGACTCTATTCAAGAGAGTCTATTCTATTGGCTTTCAAAAGCCAATAGAATAAAAAAAAGTAGCACAGCTAAGGAAAAGGGAAAAAAAATGGCGGACTGCGTTGTTTGGCGACCCCCGTAAAATGGTCGTTCGACCCCAAATGGGGTCCCGACCCACAGGTTGAGAACCACTGTTGTAAAGAAACTCAAAGTCAGCACTTTCCCATTACTCTACGCCAGTTGCCAAAGGGTCATTTTTAGTGCAGGAGATGCTCCAAGCAGGGCTGTTAAACAGGCTCCCGTCTCATTCACATTCCCAATTTCCAGAATGAGTGTTTTTTTTATTTTTAAGAGCAGAATTCTGTTCCTTCTCCGGAAAGAAATCTCTCTGGAAGGGTCAGCCGACCTCATTCCAGCTCTTCTGATGGGGGAGGTGCCATCAAAATCTTGGGAGGGGCCCAAGTGGCCTTTCAGCCCTAAGAGGGCTACCTTGGAATACATCCGACTGCAAACAGGGCCAGAAAGGATTTGCATATTGGAACGCTTTTCCATAAACGTTATTTTCATGGAGAAAAAGGATCCGCAATAAACCCGTAACCCTTTTGCTCAATAGCTTTGTTTTCTCCTAAGAAAGGAGGTGGCATTATGTGATTTTTCATCTCAAGCTTCTGGCTGCAGCAGAAATTCAAACGAGGGTTGTGCAGCAGCAAGTAAAACAGGGCAAGGACAAAGAGGATCCAGCTAGGACAAAAGCTAATTTTGATCCTTGGTTTCATGTGACTATGTTTCTACAGAATTAATCTAATTCAATAGGGGTCTGCCTCACCTTTTGGAGGTGCCCTGGGAGCAAACGTTCTGAGTCAGCCAATATAATAGCATAGCTACTGGTCCCCTTTAAAATGTGCCTTTAAATTTAATGAATGCTGTGCGTTTCATTCGTTCCTTTACAGCTCACCTGCCACAATGGCCGGTTTGGGTACAGGGGATCTGTGCTCTTGCGTGCTGTTGGGTACAGACACAGGAGGATGGGCACCACTGGGAAGAGATGTCTCCTGGGAATGGGGAATGGGTGGCTTCTTAGAGGGTGTGATTGGCTGGCACTGAATGAGGTCTTCAGGGGGAGGGACCGGAAGCACCACTGGAGGAGAGCTCCAGGCATCCTTATTTACTAGAAGAACATCAATGGAACCGCTGCTACTCTTCAAGTGGATCTGGTATTTCCTCTGGCCATTTAAACCCTAGAGAGAAAGACAAAGAAAGGTTGCACGGTATATGAAGTATATGAACAATATATGATAACGGTATTGGTGCCACGGCATCACCCGATGTCCTCACAATTGGGAGAAACACACAACCTTGAAAGGAAACCATGATGTCAGTGGGGGATTCTTTCTTCTCTATGTACAGGTGACCCCAAACCTTCTCCATCATCACTAAAGGAGAGGCCTCTCTCAATTTGCTGAGCCCCACATCCAGACACATGCTCCTTGGATGAAAGTAGCTTATAGTACCAAGTGGAATTGGGGGGTATCAGCTCAGCACAGTTCCAGGCACCTTAGAGCAAGCCATTGTTTTAATTAGAGACCCTAGGAAAGTTGAATATGAGATTTGCACAGAACAAAATCCATTCAGATCTCTTAGGCCAGGGTTTCCGAACCTTAACATATTTAAGATGCAAGGGAAACTCTGGGAGTTGAAGTCCATGTGTCTTCAAATTGCTCCTGTTGGGAAGCCTTGCCTCCAGCCAAATAGATATTTCTGCAACAGCAATATTCCTTTGGGAGTAATCCACAAGAGACTTCATGGGGATGGTGATTACAGAGTCGCTTTCTTTTGAATCACTGGTTTTGTTTTTTTTTTTCTTCCTGGTACCCATTTTTTCTCTCTCTCTTAACTTCCTTCTCTTCCTTCTGCATCTTGATTCTCCGGACATCAAGCTAAACTGGACTGCTCTTGAATATATATCTAACTATTATTGTTTCTGGAATGCCGTATTTGATTGGTAACTTTCTGCAATCTTGATTCTCCGGACATCAAGCTAAACTGGACTGCTCTTGAATATATATCTAACTATTATTGTTTCTGGAATGCCGTGTTTGATTGGTAACTTTTTGCAGAGGGCTTTCCCTTCTTAGGTTGTGCTTGTAACCTGCCAGATGCGTTTGGCTGCAGAAGGCCCCCAGTCCCTGAAGCTGCTGCGTGCTCACTTGAAGAGAGATCTCTGCTAGCATCTCCACACTTCTACACCCACCTCAGGGACAGGAACTTCTAGCTGAGTTCCTGAAGGAGCTCGGATGGCCAGCAGGGTGTCTCCTGCAACGAGAGACCAAAAGGATGCATTCAGGAAACACAGCTAAGTTGAGAGCAATACAAGAGTATACACTCCGCGGTTCCTAACCCCAGCTGAGCGCAATGTTTTCGGTCCCTAATTGCCAGGATGTTTCTTCCCATTTTCCACACTCCCAATTCTATCCAGAATGCTAAAAAAAGCAAATCAAAGAGAAGTACATCTGGGGAAGAACCAATTCCTTGCAAAGATGTTGCAGAGCTGGAATTATATGGAAACAGGCAGGTTCCTAGGGATCAAGTGGCACAGCCTCCTTACCTGGGAAGCACTTGCAAAGGTCCTCGTCGGTCACATAGGCTAATGTTCCTGAAGTTAAGTGAAAAAGCAGCTGCCTCTGGCATCCAGCAAGATCATTCCCCCATAGTATTTTTTTCCCCTTTTTATGACTCTGTAATCCCTTTTTATCAGGGTGGAGTCAGGGCGATTGAATGGAGCTGAGCATTTACTGTCAGGATGCCCTTCCTGATGCCTATGCAGGGTTTGCAGCAGATATTTACTCTTTGTGCCTGGATAAACATCAGTCATTGCCTAGGACTAAACTCTCAACCTTCTGAGTGGGAGGCGAGTATATTCACTTCTAGGCCACCGCATCACTCATTTCCTCCCATAGAATATAAAAAGAAAATCTTCCAGCATTTAGGACAGAGGTGAACAACTTAGGACCCCAGGAGTTTTGCTCTTCAGCCTTCTGCTCCAGTTCCACCACATCGCTGCTAGATTATAGGAATGCCATGGTTGAAAATCAGTAAGTCGTTTTCTGCCATTCCAAAACAGATACACACAATAAATGTAGCATGCACCCTAAAAAGTTTCAATCCTGTTAAAAATTAATCATCCTTTTGTCCTAACCGCTCACCACCAATCCTGGAAAACTGGAGCCCAACCAGTTTGTATTGTTCATTGTGACTCTCCACAGGAAATACACCAACACGGGGGAAAAAAATAATCTAAGGAAGAACTAGGGCAAAATCAAAGCAGGATAAGAAAAAGGATACTAACTTGAAACACAAGGAACACTATTATTTCACGTTATTAGGACAGTGGGATAAAAGAGCCTTTTATAATTTGATGCTAGCGGTTTTTCTATAATCCTATGCAAATTAGGTTACCTGCCTAGAAACTTTTGTAGAGGAAATACTCAGCTTGCATTAAAAAAAAAATTGCCCTATGCAAATTGGCATAATCAATGTTTTTCCAGGACTTGATATTTTTTTGCTGAAAATGTTTCCATTCACTCTGAGACTACAAATTCCAGAATTCCAAGCCAACATGACTGAATTCTGGGCACTGCCACTCCAAATATCCAGGAAGAAGACTTAAGTTAGGCTGGAGCAGAATCATCAGAAAGGACCACATTTTAGCATCAAAGAAACAAAAAAGCAGAAAGAACCAGAGTAGACTCAAAGGATATTCGTTGTTCTGTACGTCATCGGTGACATTTCTAATACTTTGCTGCACCCACATCTTTTGCTGCTCCAGCTCTCGTTCCCGATGCTCCAGATCCTCAATCTCTGCTTTCAGTTCAATCAACTTGTGGGCAATTTCCCGGGTATTACAGCCAGGCCCAACACCTCTGACAAGAAAAGAGAAATCAAGGGATTGGTCTCCTCCACAATGTATTAAGAGTCAGCTATCAGCACCAATGTCCACTTTAACAACACCCAAGGCCTGCAGAAGTCATGGTGATGCCTTCCAGTTTTTTTTTTTTTTTACTTCTGTCTTTTCCAAAGAGAATTCAGCGACACGCTTAAAGCATCTACGAGAGAACTCAAAGACCCCTTTCAAAGTTCTTGTCCGCCTCATAATTTCCGGGGGGGGGGGGGAAATCCCCTTTAAAAAGTCTCAAAAGTTCTCATGATCAAGTACCTGGTCAAAGCAATAGGAGGGAACTTCCTCTTTACCACTCCAGGATATTTTCCTGTTATCCACAGTCACTCAGCTACTGATAAAGTTCTTCCACAGCTGGCGTCAGTGAAACATTCAGACACACACACACATCCCCAGCTGTCTCAAAGGTGCTTTTTTCAAAAGGCAACTGGACTTTGGTTTTTCCTTGAGGAAGACGTTTTGCTTCTCACCCAAGAAGCTTCTTCAGAAGCGAAACGTCTTCGAATAAAAGCAAAGAAAGAAAAGTCCAGTTGCCTTTTGAAAAAGCATCTTTGAGACCACCTTGAGCTGGATGACTGAGAAACTCCACAGACACCCCACAGCTGTTCAGAGAAATTGTTCTGCTTCTGTTTCACACATGACTGGCTAACGGTAGATGCAACTGCAGCCAGGATAGGATAGGATGGAAGCTAGGGTTAGGGCTTTGGTCTCCCACTACTCACTTCCACTGAATACTGTTCTTCGATTTCTTCTCGATTAATCCAATGCCCTCAAGGACATTTGTAATATCATAAATCCGTCTCTTTTGCCGCACTGCCAGAGTATCTGCTGCCTGCAAAGGCAAACCAAAAAGAGGTGAGTTCAAAGGCACCAGAGTGTAAAAGAATACCTGGACCAGCACAACACAAAAGCTATGTTAATTACATCCTACCCTGTTAGTGAACTTTCTTAAGGACTCTACCTCAATTGTTCAGGACAGTCTGTTTTAAAACTGAAAAGTGCTAATCTGTTTTGGGAATGAGTACTGTGGTATGAAACTGTCAAAGTTATCACCAGATCTAACACTGTACAAAGCAGCTGCAACAACCACACAAGGGAGCATCTTATACAAAAATGAACTATTGCTCAGATCAGACGAATGTGCTTACTGCTTTGTCAATTCATCAACAATGGTTGCTAGTCAAGAATGGCCCACAATCTTGTTCCTTGGGATTTCTATTTATTTGTTTGGATTCCAGTTTAATTGGTTTCTGGCATACTGCTGCAAATTTATTTCATTACTTGACATGGTTGAATCGTTTTTCTTTTATCCTGGCTACATATATAGATACTGAAATGACAGTGTTGTGCCAGTGAACTTTGACCCACTTTTTATTTTCCTGCAAAAGATGAAAGCACCATCCTGTAGTGGCTATTCACAACACGCTTTTCTATTAGTTGAACAAGAATTACCCACAGATAAATAGATACGTATAAGATTTATAGATTAAATTTTTACGATGCCGAAGAATTGTTTTCACTGCAAAAAGTAACATACCTATGCTTTGGATTTGACAAAGCCTGTCCATACTTCCTTGGAAGCTGAACCTACTGAATGCAAATGAATTTATTTCTTAATAAACACACATCAGGTTTTGTGCTACCGTGATAATTTAAATGGCACGGCAACACTTCCTATCATTGTTTCCTTTTGGAATAATAAATACTGTCCAGAAACCACAAGTTGCTGCTGTTAATTTATTCAACAGAGGGCTAGAAACTTGTGGCCCTCCAATTTTGAACTGTAACTCTCAAGACCCAGCCAGCATGGCTATTGGCGAAGGAGGCTACAAGTTCAGCATCAAAAGCGCCATATTTCCATCTATGATTCACATGGGGATTCAGTCATATATGTCACCCATGCTCTGTTAAACCCCAGCTGTGGTTCACAGTACAAGAAGCAACTTCCTGCCCAGGTTTTTGCTTTAGGTTTCCTATGTATGCTCCTGGGTAGAAAAAAAAAATCTACTCCCTGGCTACAACGTGTTCTTAATTTCAAGAAGCTTGGGACTCTTCGTTCCCATATAATGCAGCAGAATAAAGGTTTCTACGGAAATTAAACCCTCCCAACCTGTACAGGAACCCAAAGCTGCTGCAAGTCCCGCCCTTCTGCATCACCCTTAGGGACCTCTTCTATCTGCAAGTAGGCTAAATACGGGCAGCGGATTTGCTGCTGCCCACCCATCCACACCAACGCAGCCATCGCCATTCGGCTGAGGCTGTGCCTTGGCAAGCACACAGGTGGCGGATGGGAGGTGTGGGAAAAAAGCAAAAGTGCTCCCACCAGCTGGCAGAAGGGGGGGAAAAGAAAGAACCAAAGCAAACGCCAGTCCACAGAGGATGCCAGCCAGGCCCCACTGATGCTGGATGAGAGAAAGGAAGCATTTCTAGCAGGACTACTAGACTCTGCAACAGCTTTGTTCCTGACGCCATCCATCTTGTAAATTCGCAGGATCCTTTTTTTTCTCTCCAGGTATATGTATACATCCGAACTAGACGGTGTGGTTTCTGTGTCATGTATGTGCGTGTATATGTGGGTATATGCATAATCCTTTGTCACATTTATGTAGTGTATCCTGGAGGTGGTTACCCTCTGAGAGCTGAAGGCAATGAAGTTTCATTTTAACGTATGCCGATTAGTGTACATTTAAAGTGACAATAAAGTTACTATTCTACTCTATTCGCTTATTGCAGGTAGAGATGGACTGAAGACCCCAGCGCACCAGAGGTGTTGTTGCACACACCTCCCCCCAGTGACTGAGTCACGCTCAAACAGAAGCCGTGTCAATAGGACTAAACAGGGAACATGTGCAGGGGCGCACACGCATGCACACAGGAAAAAGGCACACGCCGGGGCAAAGGATGCTGCTGCCCAGCAGGCTGAGCCAGCTCCTCGGCTCTTCCAAGCACCCTCGGCTCCCTCGCCCGGCCTTGCACCACCACCACCACCAAGCCCCCCTTTCCAGGTTGCAGCGCCCTTCCCTGGGTGGATGGGACTTGTAGTCCACAGCGGATGGGACTTGTAGTCCTCGGCCTCCGAACTGGTGGAAGGGAGAGAAGACCGGCCAGAAAACCCTCCCCCCGTCCCCAACAGGGGAGCCCGAGTCCTCCTCGGAGGCTGCGGCAGAGCCTGGCCGGGGGAGGCGTGGGATGATGGGCCTTGCAGTCCTGCCTCCTGCAAAGGCGGCGGGCTGGGGCCGGTGGCTCTCCCTGCCGGAGGAAGGAGCGGGGTGCTCTCCCAGGCGCCTTCCTCGCCTCGCCCTCCCGCCGGGCTCACCAGCTTCAGGTCGAGCACGCCGTCCTTGGCCTCCTGCAGCAGCGAGACGAACTTGGTGGTGAGCAGCCCCAGGCTCTTCTCGTGCCGGCTCGGCGCGCCCCCCGGCGGCTGCGGCCCGGGCTCCGCCATCCGGACGGCTCACACCTGCCGTCGCCGCCGCCGGTGTGCGGATCCCAGCGCTCCGCCGCGGCAGCCCGCGCGCTGGCCCCCTCCGCCGCTTCCGGCCGCCGCGGGGCATGACGGGAGGGGAGGAGCGAGGGTCTCCATCTTGAGAGGGCGGGGCCTCGCGGGCCGCCTCCCCGCCCTCTTCTAGAAGCCCCGCCCCCTCCGACCGGCTGTTCTGGTTTGGTCTTCTCTATTCCGCGGGCAGAGAGTCTCTCTCTCTGTGTGTGTGTATGTATAGCGACGCCTACAGGCTAAGGGACGAAAAGACTCGGCGGAGCGCTCCCTCTTTGCAATGCTCGCTCGTGAAGAAACGAGCGTCTTGCTGTGTTGCAGAGTGTCCCATAATCCCCAGCCAGCAGGGATGCTTTGCAATACAGTTCTCATCATCCCCCCCCCAACCGGCATAGCCAAAGGTCTGTGGACTGAAGGCGAAAGGGCTTGCCAAACTGAACTTGACAAAAGGCGGGACAAAAATAAAACAATCGTCGTTAATAGTGTAGTGCAGGGGGTAGGCAACCTCGGCTCTTTTATGACCCATAGACTTCAACTCCCAGAATTCCATGAGTCATAAAAGAGCCGAGGTTGCCTACCCCTGGTGTAGTGGTTAAGACAGGGGTAGGCAACCTTGGCTCTTTTATGACTCGTGGACCTCAACTCCCACGAGTCATAAAAGAGCCAAGGTTGCCTACCCTCTGGGTTAAGACATCCGTATACAGCTCAGGAGTCCTACTGTAGTCCCACTTTAAGGACAAAATCAGCTGGGTGACCTTGAGCTGGTCCCTCTTACTCAACCCATTTGTAAATTTCCACCCTTTCTATCAAGAGAAGCGATAGGTGTCCTGCATTCTATTACCATATAAGTTGAAGATGTTTTTTTTTCTTCTCAGACAGAATAATTTAATCAACCTGAATAGATAAAGCTCCAAAACAGAAAACCACACGATATGTGAATGTTTTCAGTTAGGCCCTTTCTACATAGCGGTACCCATCTTATTTTCCATACCATTCTTATATCTCAAAACTCTGCTTCCCACCCTGAAATGCAGCACAAATAATTAAGCTTGCGAATTGTTGTGCCTAGAGTTATCTGAGAATTACGTAACTCAATTGCATTGCTGTGTACCAGTAGTCAGATAACTAGACTTCCCTATCTCTTGCAACTATTGATCTTCAAGTCAGCAGGAAGCGGAAAACATGCATGTTAACAGAGGGAGAGAGAGAGAGAGAGAGAGAGAGCGCAAAACTCCAAGGACCGTTTAGGGAATAAGATACTGGATTTGTAAGATATTGCTATGTTTTAGAAATCTCTTTGGGAAAAGTGTTGTTGCTATGTAATAGTTGCATATAAAGTATCCCTTCTGCCCTGTTTATTTTTTCAACCTTAGTGTTACATTGCACAGAATCTGGGAACAAATATCTTGGAACGCACATTCATCATAAGAAAATGTGCTTATTCCTGAGAAGTAGGCATACATAAGGGACGTTTCTACATTGGGCCCAAGTTGGCAGTGTAATTGACCAACTCTACCCTTGTAATTGACCGATGCTATGACATTTTAATATTTTTGGTTTACAATCTGTTGTGACTGATCCAGGAGGAATTTGCAGAATAGAAGAACATTAAATAAATTTTAATTAATGGAAAGAAGGATACCAACATGGTTTTAAGGAGCACATCATTACCCTGTCTGAGAAGAAAGAAGTATATTTGACTTATTTGGTAATAGAACACATGGGACACATATCTCTTGTCTTAATAAAAATGGACAAAATTTGCATGTCTATGGAGATTCTCAGTCTTCCAGGTCATAACAGTGGTGCTTTTTCAAAAAAGCAAATAGAACTGTTTTTTCCTGGAGGAGGAAGAACACCTTTTACCTCATCATAGAATAGAATAGAATAGAATAGAATAGAATAGAATAGAATAGAATAGAATTATTGGTAAGTGTGATTGGACACAGAAGGACTTTGTCTCCAGTGCATAAGCTCTCAGTGTACAAATAAATAACAAAGTAATATAATCTAAAGTAGAATAGAATAATGAATAGAATAATGAATGGAATGGAATGGAATAGAATAGAATAGAATAGAATAGAATAGAATAGAATAGAATAGAATAGAATAGAATAGAATAGAATAGAATTCTTTATAGGCCAAGTGTGATTGGCACATAAGGAATTTGTCTCCAGGTGCAGAAACTTTCAATGTACATGCAAAGCAATTGAGAAATAATAATCATAATAATAATATCAATAAGAGGTAGTAGTAAAGAAGAAAGGATAATAATACCACAACCATACATAGAATTAGATGTTTATTTATTTATTTATGAGACTTATATACCGCTTTAAGTACAAGCACTTTCTAAGCGGTGTACACCAGTAAGCAATGTATGTATATATTTACATTGCCCCCAACAATCTGGGTCCTCATTTTACCTACCCCGGAAGGATGGAAGGCTGAGTCAACCTTGAGCTGGTGAGATTCGAACCGCTGACCTGCTGAACACAGTCAGCTAAAGTGGCCTGCAGTACTGCACTCTAACTGCTGCGCCACCTCAGCTCTTAATAATTGTTGTAATATCTATAATTATAATTAGACATAGAACAGTACTGTGAGGATTAGGTGTTCCGCCGAGTGATGGCACGAAGAACATCTGTCCCTGTGTCTAGTCGTTTTGGCATGCAAAGCCCTATAGCAGCATCGTGATGGGTGGGAGTTGAAGCAGTTTATGTCCAGGATGTGAGGGGTCTGTAGATATTTTCTCAGCCCTCTTTCTGACTCAATATACGGGTCCTCAATGGAAGGCAAGCTGGTTGCAATTGGTTTTTTTTCCCTGCAGTCCTAACTATCCATTGAGTCTGTACCTGTCCCTCTTGGTTGCTATACCAGACCAGAAAGTTATTGAAGTACAAATGACAGACTCAAAGATTCATCAGTTGAATCTTCAGGCCCATACCAATGAAGCTTCTTGGATGAGAAGCAAAATGACTTCTTAATAACAACAATAATAACAATATCAACAACAATACTAATAAAGTTGGAAGGGACCTTGGAGGTCATCTAGTCCAACCCCCTGCTCAGGTGGGAAATCCTATACCATTTCAGACAAATAGCTGTCCAGTCTTTTCTTAAAAACTTCCAGTGTTGGAGACTTCTTCTATTCCAGTATTTGAGAGGCTGCCACAAAGACGAAGGGGTCAATTTATTTTCCAAAGCACCAGAAGGCAGGACAAGAAACAGTGGATGGAAACTGATCAAGGAGAGAAGCAACCTGAAATTAAGGAGAAACTTCCTAACAGTGAGGACAATTAACCAGTGGAACATACGTGCCTTCAGGTGTTGTGGGTGCTTCATCACTGGAGGTTTTTAAGAAGAGACTGGACAATCACTTGTCCGAAATGGTGTAGGATCTCCTGCTTGAGCAGGGGCTGGACTAGAAGACCTCCAAGGTCCCTTCCAGCTCTGTTCTGTTCTGATTTTTCTTCTTCCTCCAGGACAAAAAAAAAAAAAAACATTCCAGTTGCCTTTTTGAAAAAGCATCTTTGGAGGAAATTTACATTTTTTTCTATTGATGCATTAGGTCAGTTCCAGAGTTGGCATAATCCAACACACAGTCTCTTGAGCACTGTGTTAGTTGGCCTGAATGTTTAGAAATAAAACAAAATATTCGTGAAGAAACTGCATCTACAGGCACGGCCTGTGCAAAGCAGAACGAGAAAGATCTCTGGATCCTGGCAAAGGGGAGGCATGGATGCTTGCTGTGGTCAAAAGCCAGCGGCGGCATTGATGCACAGAGCTATTTTGTGCTGCTTCATCTGCATTCCCAAAGAATGAAACTGACCGGTAGATTTACTGTTTCCCCCCCTCCCCGCCGCCTTCCTATTCCAACATCCTGAGTGTTTTTGCTTCAGTGTTACAGAGCAAACCCCCAAGGAATCATGAGGAGTATTAACTGACGGAAACGCTATTCATTGCCTCGGCTTCCTCTGCTCAGCCCCGTCCAGTCCTAAGCTTTGAACCGGGGTACCCTGCTGCAATTGAAGTCATGGGGATGTCTGCCGAGGACAGCAGTTCCACCCATCCCAGAGGTAACAACTGAAAAATGAAGATTGGGGGGGGGGGTTTAGGGGATATGTAACCCTTTCTACTAAGCAACAGCCAAATACGCAAGTCACCCAGTTATATCGATCTGTTTCTTTCTTCCTTTTACCTTTTCCACAGCAGTAGCAGGAAAAGGATAATTTTATTCCGAACAGGGGAATGCAGGAATCTAATTCCCAAACTTCGTGCTTGGAACCAGGACAAAACGGGAATCTGATTTATGTTTGAATAGAAAGTTCAACCTATTTTAATTCCACAAATCTCCTCCATCTCTCACTTTAAAAATGTTGGTTTAGGGACAACTCAGCCTGAACACGTCCTGATCAGCTTGTGTCATCCCAGATGTATTGACATCATCATTTAATTTTGCTTGGGAATCAGCTTGGCCGTCCCGGTCCTGGGAGGCTGCATTTTCATTGCCTTCTTACCATGGTGGGAATAGTTACAATCCTACAATCACTTTCTTCTCCCTCAAACACAGCCTTCTCTGTGTAGCAAGAACCCCTCCTAGAGGGATCTTTCGTGTTTCAAGCTTAGGAACCAGAGCTAATGGTCCACCAGCTGCAAAGTTATGCCTTCATTTCCCGTTTCCTTCCTGCGTCCTTAGATGAAGCATTCCTATCTGGTTAAAAGCACACCGCCTGGAATTTTACTTCCTTTCATTGTTGTTGCCCTAGAGGGAGAATGGCCAGAACTGGAAAAAGCAGAGAAGCTGGCAAGAGGGGCTGCCTTAAAGTGGGCATCTGGGGTGTTTTACCAACCAGACAAGCTGGATAGTCTTCCGCAGTACAAGATTCGGGAAGTGCAGCGGAACAGGTTCATTGAATCCCGCCTAAAGGTAGGTAAGCGTCACAGGGTAATTTCATAAAGTCCAAGGGCCCTTGGTGGTCTCTGAGTTGGGTTGTTTTCTTGTGGACTTAACTAGATGACATCATCAGGGCTAGAGGGAGCAGAGTTTATGGAGAGAAGGAAGATGAGGAGGATTGTATTGTAGGGATCTTGGTGCTCTCTGACCTTGGAAGTTTTCTTGCAGAAGTTTCATTACCCAACTAGGTAACATTATCAGTGCTAGAAGTGGGGGAGAGGAGGAGGAGTGCTTACAGGAGTGGGGTTTCCACCTGTAATGACTTACATTTGGCTTTGCCTCTAGTCCACTGCTCAGTCCTACCTGGAAGGCATGAACACGGGCCTGGAGGAGCTGCATTCTGCCCTCACTGATGTCCAACATGTTCAAGAAGAATTGGGGAGCATTCAGAAGGATCTCACGTCATGCCTCGATTCATTTCGGAGCTTACAGGAGCTACGAGAACTGGCCACGAAGCATGACCAGCTGGAAGCAGTGGTCCAGATGTTGCCCCAGCTTTTCTCAGGTGACTTGCGCCTTGCGTTAGGCTACTCCGAAATGCATTGCAAAATTTTAGGGCAGACAGCCAGAGGTGAAGAATCCTTAACACAGAAGCACACACTCTGAAACTGTCCCTAGACCCCATGAAAACCTTAGATTGAATTCCAGAGCCCTTTCATGAATAGCCACCGAATTATGTATGTATTTGTCTCAGAAAGGGGAAAGTGTTATTATTACTTCAGTTTTAATTAAATGTCAGCAACATGAAATTTTATTCTTCTTTGTGCCCCAGCAAACGTCTGGAGTGAGGCTCTTGAATCAAAGACCAAATGTGGACTTCAGTTCCCAAAATTTTGCATAGATATTGAATGCTTTCCCCAAACCAGGAATGGAAGTTTGTGTATTCCTAATTACATTAGCGTAGTTTTCACTCCAGCACAGTTTCTGGTTTTTATCCCTCGTTCTTTATTATTTTCATTGCTCTCTTGATCAGTACATATTTAAGTACAATTTTGAAAGTATAAGAATGAATGTTCCACTGGAGCCCAATGTTTTTATGCTGTCTTTATATCAAGATGTAAAAAAAATCTAACATGAAATTAAAGGGGCTATTTAATTGTGGGAAGTAGGCTGATTTTTTTTAATAATTTACCAAAAGAAATTCTAATTGCCTGCCACGAAGAAAATACAATATATTGTAGGAAACATCACAGTCAAAAACTAGGGATAGAACGAGGCTTCATGAAATCAACATTTGGTGACTTCATGACTTCGTTTTCGTGATTTGTGACTTTGTTTCAACAAATGATGCTTATTGATTGATTGATTTTTTTTATCCCATTTTTTTTCTAAGGCAGGAGTGTCCAATCTTGGCAGCTTTAAGACTGCCTGGCTGGCTTGGGAATTCTGGGAGTTGAAATCCACAGTCTCAAAGTTGCCAAGGGTTACGGTTGGACACCCTTGTTCTATTGGATTGATGAAAGTATGTAGTTTTTCCTCTGCTCGGAGTACCAACCCCTGTTCAATATTGTCTTCCTTTCCTTTCCTTTTGGAGGTTTCAATTTGGAAAGCTTACACTTAATCCCTGTCTCTCCTTTACTTTTCTCTCTGTAGTACCTCAACTCATTTCGGAAACTTTCAATTTCTTACAAAGCCAGAACCTCTTGAGAGCTCATCTAGGGCTCATGGACCTGGAGAATTTACGGGATAGCATCCTATCCCAGTTGCATAACCGCAACCTGCTCAGCTCCTTGAATCTGACCAGCATTGAATCCTACTTTGGAGGTCTCCTGGAACTGAACGATGCCTTGGCCCAGCATCTGTGGCACACAGTTGCCCATGCCACAAAATTGGTGTCAGAGGATCCAGCCCTTTTTGTATCAGTTGTACGGATCATTGAGAGAGAAGAAAGCATAGATGCCAACGTGCTGCTGAGGTCCCAGCCTCATGGCTTCCTCCCACCGGGACGCCCAAAATGTTGGAGAAGGAAATTCTTCCAAGTCATTCAAGACGCGGTCGTAGCTTCCTATTTCCAGGCTGAGCCAAACAAGACTCAAGGCCAGTGGCTTAGTAGCCATTTGGCATCCTTGCAGAGTAGCATCCTAACTGAATTATGCATCGTGAAAGATTTGATGGTTCAGTGCTGCCCTCCTCATTACAACATCCTCACGGCCTTTGCCACCATGTTCCACCAAGGCCTAAGCAAGCACCTGCATCACATTCTTGCCTGGGACCTAGACAAACAAGAGATCTTTGCTCTGCTCCACTGGGCAATCCATGTCTACCCAAGGTTGGTGCTGTTGTTAGTGGGTGCCGAAGGCCGTGAGGCAAAGGCACTTCCATACTTTTTAGGAAGAAGTTCTGGAGATGATATTGATGATTGTAACATCCATATATAGGCAGAGTCCATTATGCCTCAGTAGAAGGAATCCAACATGGGTGCATGTTAGAATTTGACTCGTGGTATATATCCAATCCAGGCTGGCATGTTGCAGGAAAGCTAAAAGCTGACTTCTGCATTTTTCTCCTGACTTCCCCCCCTTTTTTTTTATCAGTTCTGAAATGATGTCTCACCCACATCTGCTTCCTGAAGTGGACGTCTCAGCCTTGGGTCCTATGCTTCCAGCAGATACAATAGGCTCTCTGGAAGAGTCTTATCTGGGGAAAGTACAGGTGAGTTAGAAGATCAGGATCAGGGTTTTTGAAAATCCAATTATCTGTGGACACGGAAGGAGGTCTGAATGTCTTTAGCACCGATTGAACTGGAGTCTATGGGCTACTGTGAGAAGGTAATCCAAAGTTTTAGGCAATTTATTTTGTGGTACTACCTGGGATTGCTTTCCATTGGAGATGCTGAGCGTACATTCTAAGACTCTCTATTATCTACATCCAATTTGTTTACAATATTGCAGTTTAGAATAGAATAGAATAGAATAGAATAGAATAGAATAGAATAGAATAGAATAGAGCTGGAAGGGACCTTGGAGGTCTTCTAGTCCAGCCCCCCGCTCATGCAGAAGAATTTATATCATCTCAGACAAGTGACTGTCTAGCTTCTTCTTAAAAATCTTCAGTAATGGAGCGCCCACGATTTCTGGAGGCAAGCTGTTCTACTGGTTAATTGTCCTCATTGTCAGGAAGTTTCTCCTTAATTCCAGGTTGCTTCTCTCCTTGATCAGTTTCCAACCATTGTTTCTTGTCCTGCCCTCTGGTGTTTTGGTGAATAACATGACCCCGTCTTTGAGGCAGCCCCTCAAATACTGCTATCATGTCTCCCCTATTTCTTCTTTTCTTTAGACTAGCCAAACCCAAGTCCTACAGCCGTTGTTTGTATGTTTTAATCTCCATCTTAGTTGCTCTTCTCTGATTTTTTTCCAAACTCTCAACATCTTTTTTGTGATATGGTGACCAAAATTGGCTGCAGCATTCCAGGTGTAGTCTTACTAGGGCTTTATAAAGCGGTACTAATACTTGTGCGATCTTGATTCTATGCTTCTGTTTATACAACCTAGAATTGTATTAGCTTCTTTGGCTGCTGCTGCACACTGCTGGCTCATAGTCAAATGATTGTCCACTACGACTCCAAGGTCCCTCTCACAGTTACTGTTTTTAAGCCAGGTCTCGCCCTGTCTGTACTTGTAGCTTTGATTTTTCCTGCCTAAACGTAAAAATTTTATCCTAACTTTATCACGGGTGGGAGTTCAAATCCTCTTCAGGAATCTTGATTCACACTCCGATCTGGAGGTTGACCTAATGGTGGAACACCAGCAGCGTCTGCGAGACGGGCTGAGTTTTGTAGCCATTTTACGGTAATGGAGAAAACTGAAAATGGGAGATGGAAAGGTTGCAGCCAGGTCAAGGCACTACACTGTTTATGGCAATTGATTTGAGTGGGTTTAAGCAGACCAAATGAGACAAATGAATTGGAACAGGTGGAAGCTCCTAAAAGAGCCGTCCCTTTAGTTCATTTCAAAGAGTCAGGATTCCTGGATCCCATTTTGTTTCCTTCCTCTAGGCTAGTATTGCAGAATGGATGCAGAAGGCTCTAGAAATGGAGTTTGAGGAATGGCTTTGTGGAAAAGAACCTGAATCTGACTATCAAGGCTTCTTCCAGACCAATCTGCCTATCATTGCCATGAAGGTTAGGAGGAATTGGGGAGGCAAGGAGAAGACTTAGCTAACTGAACAAAGAAGATATTTTTAGTTGTAAAAGCCAAATCATGAGTTTGGTTCCCCATCTGTTCTTTTCTCTCTCTCTCTCTCTCTCTCTCTCTCTCTCTCTCTCTCTCTCTCTCTCTTTCCCATTAAATATCTCAGATGCTTGATGAAAACATTAAAGTGGTATCGCTCATCTCTGGGATTTTCCAGCAGAAAGTTCTGGAAATGGCTTTGGGAGAACTGGAGGCCTTTTTGGGCAGGTCAGTTTCATCTTGTACTCCAACTAATTCCAAAAGACAGGATGACCTGTCTACTAAGAGCTCAACACAGCAGGAGAAGGATCTTTGGGCCCAACCCGTAGACACCTCTGAGCTGAATCAAGTCAAAAGTTCATTTCTGAAAATTCTTGGGTAATTGGATCCATCTTGGTCCTATCCACCATTAGGTCAGCTTATTGGTGGTTCTACAACCGTGTGGGAAAGGGGGTTGACATGCAAGCTGGAAGTAAGGTGACTAGATGGATCATTCCACGCCCGCTACAATCTCTGGGTGAGCAAGGCCCCTATGATATATGTATCTTTCCTTTCCGCAGCCTGTACGAGAAACTGGTGGAATTTTGCAAAGCACATCAGCAAGAGCCCATGGCATCTACATACTACACAGCAAGATTGTTGTCCACTGTCAACAACTGCTTGGCTCTCAGGTATTCCCAAAGGCTGTTTCTGGTATTCTGTCTCTCTTTCCGCGCTCCATTTTCTTCATCTTCTTAGCCATCAGCCAGAAGATTCCTTCTTAGTTATTTCTCTGCTCTTTGCTGGCAGCTCTTCCATCTCAGCCTTGTGTGCCAATGGGTTGCCATCTGAAGAGCCTGCAAGGATACTACCATCTCTACACACGGCCTTAGAGAAAACTCAGAAGAAGGCATGCCAACTTCTCCTGGAGGAGATGCTGGCTGACTTGAAGGTACTCCTCGTTCAGGATCACACATAGCAGTGGGTGTGGTTTTGGCTTGGGGTGCTTGGGGAACCTAATTAACAGTGGTTATTCAATACGCCACGATTAAACCATTCATGGCTTAGCTTGCAACCTGAACCAGGTTACTGATTGCTACATATCTGGCACAAACAGAGCAGATTCCAGCTGCCTTGTGCAAATACACACCACCCCTTGAGAAGTGAGAACTGCACCCTACACAGCACGAAAGGCTGAAACAAACCAATGGTCAAAAGCTGTGTTTCACTGGATGTTGATATAAACAGCTCATCCAGTAATTCCTATGCATGTTATAACATAAAGGTAAAGTTTTCCCCTGTCCAGTCGTGTCGTGAGGCTGTGCTCAACTCCGTTTCTTAGTCGAGGGAGCCAGCGTTGTCCAAAGACAGCTGTTACCTTCCCACCAAAATGGTACCTACTTATCTATGTGCATTTGCATGCTTTCGAATTGCTAAGTGGGCAGGAGCTGGGGCAAGGAACGGGAGCTCACCCCGTCTCACGATGCTTGGGTCTCAAACCCAGGCTGTCAGCTTTCCAGATGACAAGTTCAGCGTCTTTAAGTTCCGAGCCATTGCGCCCCATTATAACATAGATCACGGCAAACCAATTGGTTTTTTTTCAGCGTCTATGTTTGCAGATGTCTGTACCGGTTGTTCTTTCTGAGTCTCCTCTTGCATCCGATACTGACAGCGCTAATCTCAAATAGATTAACTTTTATTTAAAAGCTACCAGAATTTTCTCTCTTTTGCTACCTGGTATGCTCCCCTAAATAAGAGGTCTCTCTTGTGATCTGTTCCAGCCATTCTTTGCCCAGTTGCCCTCCCGCCAGTGGCTGCTGGATGACTTTCAGCTGATGAACAGCATCTGCGAGGTGATCGACAAACATGCGGATGGTTTCTGCAGAACTCACAAACCTAACAGCCTGGTAAGATTCTGGCCACCATTGGGGGCATCAGTGGTGGGGAAGATCGATCCACTCCTGAAAGCGTGAGCATCATTCTGAGGTCATCATAAGCCTGATACCACATCAGTCTGTTACCAATAGACTAACAAATAGGATTTCGGCTGTATCCATAAAACATCACACCTCTTTTTCCTTCTCCTTATAATGCCCACTCAGTACCTGCTGTCAGAAGCTGAGCACCTGGTCATGAGCCAGTATGTGAAGTCCCTCTTACAGAAACGAATGACGTGTCGAACAGCTGAGGAGAGGAGTAAGATGTCCACAAGGATGCTGCAGGACACCACTCAGCTGAAGGAACTCTTCTGTGCCCTGGTGAGAAAGAGGGGCGGGGCGGAAAAACCTCTCCAGCCTGGGTAGAAATACTGCAAAAAAAAAAAAGGGGGGGGGGTGGAAATCTCTGGGGAGAGGCAGTCTATTTTGACCAACCAAGGGGAAATGATTACCGTATTTTCTGGCGTATAAGACGACTTTCTAAAGCACGTAAATCGGCTCCGAAGTCAGGGGTCGTCTTATACGCCGAGTCGTCTAATACACCGGAAAATACGGTACTACAACTTGAGAGGCAATAAGCACAAGGGTTTTGCGTGGTTTAATTCTGCCCTTTTAAAAATAGAGTAAAACTCAACACTGCAATCTCATACCCAGAAAACAGAAGTTTTAAAGTGATGTAGGGAAGAATTGCAAAAAAATAAAAAAAAATTAATTAGATTTGTGGTCATTGCAATTAAATCAAAATGCAATCAAAATGGCAGCAGTTGGCTTAGACCAAAAGAAACTACAATAAAGTATCCATGCTATAAAAACGGTCAACTAGGGAAAAAAAAAACATTTGTGATTCCAAATGTGTCTGATTATTTGTTTGTTTGGTGATCAATTCAATATGAATAAATATGTGCAATTTTACTTCTGGTTGGGTGTTTTTATAGCATGAAAACTTTCTTGTAGTTTCTTTTGGTCTATTTATGCCAACTGCCTTCCTTGATTGCATTTCTGCCATTCTCTCCTACATCATTTGGAAACGTCTGTTTTGTGGGTATGAAATTGCAGCGTTGAATTTTAATCTGTTTTAAAAGTAAGTGAACGTATTGGTTTTGAGCTGGCTGGCTTTGTTTCCTTCCCAGGGCTTGGAGGAGGACAAACTGTCCCTCAAAGTCATTGCAGATCTGCAGCAGATCATCAGTGTCAAGGATCCTTCTATGCTTGGTCTGGAAGTGCTGGGATTCATGACAAAATATCCTGATATCAGGTAGGATACCCATTTTTTAATTGCAACATCCTCTGGCATCAAATCCGCATTTGGGGACTGGGTGAGAAACTCAGAAACTGCTATAATGTTCCTTTAACTCCAGATACTCAGGACCGTAGAGATCATTAGGGATCATTAATGGTACTTGATTGTTTTATTTATTATGAAGTGTTATCATCTTTACATTTCCTTTTAGTTTCATATCTAGTATTATTAATAACTGGAAGTCATTAGAAAAAAAAGCTTACAAATGTGTCAATAAGTACAATATCTATGGAGTTTTTGGTGCTCTCATAGCTTGTTTATATACCGGTGAACACTCCCACCAACACTGACAGAGCTAGCCCCTGTACGTGAACAGAGAGCCCTGTTCATTACCTCGTTGGGTAATGAAATGTCTGCAAGAAAACAACCAAGCTCTGAGTGCATCCAGGACTTCACAGCCCAATCTTAAGCTATAAATATTCTCTTCTAGAAGTACAATATCTTTCTGTCCTGCTACTGTTCCATCTCTAATCAGAAAGTGAGAAGATTTTCCAGGAGTTTCCATTCAAGAGACTGAATGCACGCTGTATTGTTGGGATCATGCAGGCCTTTGTAGTGTATCCAGAGGGCAGGCTGGGGCTGGAGAAAACCGCAGCAGAGAAAGCTGATAACAAATAAACTATCTGGCAGAGAAATCCCTTCTTCATTAATCTGCAGGCTTTCCTCCAGAGTTGACAGAAGAAGAAACCAAAGAAAAAGCCACTTCCTTGTGTGTGTGTGTGTGTGTGTGTGTGTGTGTGTGTGTGTGTGTATGTGTGTGTGTGTGTATGCTCTCTCTTATATCTCTGAGAGATCTCTGCCTTTGGGTCATCCCTCAGTGCTGCTTATGAGGTGGAGTATGATCCATACAAACTGACACGATATTCACTTCGTTTTGAAGTTGTTTCTCGTGTCTGCTGTAAAAAAGGTAACGCGGTTACCCTTCTGGAACCTGGTTTATTATTATTATTTTTATTTTCCTCCAGTGAGGACCACGTTTCCATGTTCTTGTACTTGCGGGGCGACATCTCCAAAGAAATCTGCAATCACGTGCTGGGAGTCATGGTGAAAAATCCTCAGGTCCTACCGGAGAATTACGATCCCATTTTCAGCAATATCTTGGTTCCTGCTCCAGAAATGCCCTTTTGCCTTGGCAAGTCCAAATGTGCCTGAGAGCTCCTATCTGTAGCCGGTGCTGGTGCTAATGCTGATGCTGCCAACCGTCTCACCAGCCTGTCTGAATTCACCGCCGGGAATTCAGTTGGTAAACTTGGCAACGTGCGGGAACTTACTGTAAGGACTTAGATCTCTTGCAGGGGCGCAGCGACTCTTGGCTTATGATGCATTTGATCCCTCCCTCAGGCTCAGCCTGGTCATCTCCTACAGATGGTGAATAAGAATAATGGGGACCTGACATGGTGGTTGCCATGGATGACGGTAGACTAAAACTAAGCATCTCTGGTCCTAGAAATAGCACTTAGACTTATATACCGCTTTACAGGGCTTTACAGCCCTCTCTAAGTGGTTTACAGAGTCCACATCTTGCCCCCAACAATCTGGGTCCTCATTTTACTGACCTCGGAAGGATAGAAGGCTGAGTCAACCGTGAGCTGCTGAGAATCGAACAGCTGGCAATCGGCAGAATTAGCTTGCAATACTGCATTCTAACCACTGCGCCACCATGGCTCTTAGGACAGTACCTTCACCACTGCATCACATTAATGTTTGGGCTATGAAGCAATCCTGGCTTAATGTCACCTCTGAGCTTCTGTTGCTAAATAGGGACTAGAACTAAGTCTTCTTAGTGCATTATCATGCCTTAACCCCTAAAGTACATTAGTTTTGAATTTTGGGTCAATATACTGCAGAGAAGTAGCCTAGTTAAGCAATCATGGACTTAAAAGTTGAGAACTAAAACAGTCTAATTTTATCCTGAGAAACCAGACACTGAATACACTCATGAATAAGCCAGAAATTTTAGGTTTTAAAATACTCCCAAGATGGGCTTATCTGCAAGCGTAGACAATACTAGTTTTTCCCCAGCAAAGTCTTGTCACCCAGCTGCAGTCCTCAAGGCTTTTCTCTTGGAATCTGTGGTGGAAAAAAAGGAAGGACAAATCAAACTGATTAATGAAATTGCAGGTGTGGGATTGTGGAAAGTTTCTCCATGAAGCAAAGAAAGAAAAATAGTAATAGAAATAAACATAGAGGCTAAGAGATGGAAGCAGTTTTTTTAAAAAATAAATAAAAAAATAAAAATAAACTGGAGCTGCCAGAATCAAACAGACTTTACTCAAGGAAAGGCTTTTGAGCTGGTCATTCAGAATCATTGGACACAAGATGGAGATTGGATGAAAAAGGCCAGTCTGAGTTATTGCATCTCTTAAATTATTTTTGATAAACCCAGCTTGGGTTATTGTATCTCTTACTGTATTTCTTAAGGCGGGCACGGCAGCTCATGGGTTAAAGATGCTGAGCTTGTCACCTGAAAAGCCGACAGCCCAGATTTGAGATCTGAGTGCTGAGCAACAGGGTGATTCTCATTACTTGCCCCGGTTCCTGCCCACCTAGCAGTTTGAAAGCATGCAAATGGGAGTAGATAAATAGGTACCACTTTGATGGGAAGATAACAGCGCTGCCTTCGCTTCGGTGTATAATCATGCTGGCCACATGGCCACAGATGTGTCTTCAGACAACACTGGCTCCCTCTGCTAGGAAACGGAGATGAGCACCATCTCCTATAGTCAGGCACGACTGTCGCAGGAAAACTTTAACAGAACAGAATAATGGAAGGGACCTTGGAGGTCTTCTAGTCCAACCCCGGCTCAGGCAGGAAACCGTATACCATTTCAGACAAATGGTTGTCCAATCTCTTCTTTAAAACTTCCAGTGTTGGAGCACCCATAACTTCTGGAGGCAGGTTGTCCCATGAAGAATGTTCTCTCAGTGTCACGAAATTTCTCCTTAGTTCTAGGTTGCTTCTCTCCTTGATCAGTTTCCATCCGTTGCTTCTTCTCCTGCCTTCAGGCGCTTTGGAGAATAGCTTGACTCCCTCTTCTTTGGGGCAACCCTGAGATATCTTTACCTTTATCTCTTATAAGAAAGCCTGTAAATTAGTAAGTTCAAAGCTTGAGGCCAGATGTCATTGAGTAGGGAAAAAATCCTATAGCTCAGGGGTGTCAAACTGCCAGCCCGTGGGCTGGACACGTCACGTGGAAGCCGCGCCCACCCCATTGCCGGCAATGGCAAAACCGTCCCAATACATTGCGTGACGTCACTTGACCTCGCGAGTTTGACATGTCTGCTATTTGACACGTCTGCTATTTTGGATTGAGAGCTCTACCTCTTACATTGCTACATTCCCGGCAAATGCTTCACTGGCAAGCAAGCATCCAGTCCGGATCTTACTAAGAGGTTAGTATTCAAACCACCAGCATTCCAGGCCTTAAGGGAGATGGACAATCCAACTCTCTTTTTGGGTCATGACTATCGCTCCCCATTCTCCACACGGCAGTGCTGAAATTCAGCTTCTTTACTGGACAGAGTTGAAAATAAATAGTGTTCTGGCATTAATGGCGAAACAACTGCCACCGAGCCAGAGTTTATCCAGTTAGTCTTGTGACTGCAATTAGTCTGTATTGACTTGCAGATCTAGAACGTCTAAAGAGTCTTGTAAAAGAAAAAGAAAGAGCCGTGTGAAAGAAACTCTTTTGCAATTGTTAGTAATGCAGAGTTGGGAAACGCTTCCCCAGCCTCCTTCTAATACTTTTGCCCTGGCTATATTAAACCTTTGAGACAGATGTCACTGTTTATCCTATTACATGCAATACTTTTGGAATAAAAGAGTTCCTCTGAGTCATACTGTACCAGCAACACATCATACTTGTTCCCAATCACCTACTGTCACAAATATTCTTCTAAGCAAGTTTTCAGACTGGGGAAGGGACGAGAAGTCCTTGGTGGTTCCTCAGTGTCCCATTATCACCTTGAATATTATAAATGGGGGGGAGGGGAAGAGTTACTGTGTTCATAGAGCATCTTTGCTTGCTTTGACTTAGCAGGGAGACACTTTTCCATATGAACTAAATTCTTCTACCCACTAAGTTAGGATGTACTTGAAACTCTGCATTCCCAAGCATAGGTACACGAAGTCAAGAATATATGATTTAAAGTGAGATGACAATACAGTGTGGGAACAATCCAGAGAAAAGAAATATTTTTGGGAATATTAAAAACGCAGAATATATTTGCCCCCCCCCCAAAAAAAATAATAGAGAAGATCTTTAAAAAGGCAGAAACTTCTCCACACACACACCCCAGCCAGACAACTCAGTAGAAACCAGCTTTTAGAAATGCAGATGTAATAATCCATTCAGAAAGATTGGAGCCCTCCAGCTAGAAGCTCAAGAGATCAGGAAGACAAAGATCCTTAAAAATCTACATATCCCACCCAAACTCTAAGACAGGACATAATAGGATTAACCCACCACCATCAGAATAGCAGAAAGGCACATTCGGACTCAGGTCAAACTTCATGACACAGGAACAACTCCAACCAAAAGCCCAAGAAGGTATAAAAACCCACTCCCTATTACATGTACTCTCTTTTTTCTTCCAGAGCCATCTTTCTGTCTGGCTCTCCTCTTCAATAAACTACAACCTTCTTTCTAAAGCAGTCGCCATGTTGTTTATTCCCGGCTTGGACTGGACCCTGATGAAGACTTTTCCTTCAACAACAGGCACATGCACAAAGTCATAAGAGCAGCCTTGGTGGATCAGAGCAAAGGCTAATCTGGACTAGTTCTGTGTTCTTTAATGGACAAATAGATGCCTAGGAGAAATCAACCAAGGGACATAATGTCCTATTGCTCATGTTCCCCAACTGTTATGAAGAACTGTGCTTCCTCTTGTACTGAAAATAATCTATGGCCATCCTAGCTACTAGCCATAGAAAGCCTTAACTTCAGGTAATCACCAGCAACTGCAATCCATGAAACTGATAAGAGGCATCAACAGAAGAGTCTAGTGTGATTTTTGCACACATATTTTTCAGACAAATAGTAACTGAATTGTGTTCCATTCTGTTTCCAATGGCAGTAGCCAACTTGATTTTCTGAAACAGCCGTATTTGCTATATTCCATATACTGTGGGAAATAATTTGAGGCACTTATTAATGGTCAGCAGCAGCCCCATTGTTAGTCACTAGCTGCTTTTTACAGCCATTCTTTGTAATTGTTCAAAGTGATGCAGAATTAAAACAATACACCCTTCATAAATAAAATACTGAGCGTGAATTGTCTTGAGAAGTAGGAAGAAAGCAAACAACAGTTGGAACTGGGTTAAAATGTTTTAATTAACTATTTTAAAGACTTAGTGAAATGGGATTTGGTTCCAGAGACTATAAATATCAAGAAAACTGGTAGCCAATCCTGTCTATTACCCACCAACAAGAAAAACAGGTAGAAGTAAAGTAGGAAATTTGACCACAAAAGATGCATTTTTCGGGAACTGTTTACCAGACCCTTATACCTTATCAGAGTCTTATTGGATTCTTTTCTGGTGCTAGTATTACCACTCAAGGGGAATTCAACAAATGCACAGCAGTGCTTCATCTCACATTGATCCGATCCACATTAAAATATGTTTTTGTGTAGCCATGCCTGAGTCACTAAAGAAATTCGTACATTGCACTAAACTACAATCTGGTTTGAGGTTGGTATCGCGTGGTGTGTGAACTCAACCGTCATGACTTAATCAGTTGCATGACTCAACTAATGGTGGCAAACCCTGCAAAAATAAACCATGACTTGGCAGGAAGGACAAACCATGTGTTTCTCCTTCAACTTCTCATTGGAAGTTGAAGAAAGATGAGAAGGTTTTACTTCCGTGTTTCTATTAAATACTGTACCAGCAACACATCATACTTGTTCCCAATCACCTGCTGTCACAAACATTCTTCTAGGCAGGTTTTCAGACTAGGGAAGGGGAGGAGAATTATCATCTTGAATATTATAAATGGGGGGGAGGGAAAGAGTTACTGTGTTCATAGGGCATCTTTGCTTGCTTTGACTCAGCTGGGAGACACTTTTCCATATGAACTAAATTCCTTTTGTTATTGATAAGCCAGAAATTAATTCAAGATTAATTAAGCAGATAAGTCAGGATAATGAACTAAGGTTTGTTTGTGCATCAAATTCGAATAAGGTCTAACAACAGTTAGGTTAGACCTGGACACAGTAAGCCATAAGAAGCAAACATTACTAATTCCTTCTGTAGGATTGGTCTGAGGGGAGGAGCAAAGCAATATAACTACTTGGGGAAAACAAATGAAACAATAATAATCAAACAAGGCACACAGGAGAAAATAAAACCATCCCAAATTGCTATCATGGAATTGCCAATATTCCCAACTAAAACAGTTCTCTGAAGACCTTTGTTCTCACCTCAGTTTCTCTGTTCTCAACATCTCTAAAATCTTCCCTTATAGTCCTTTCTAGATGCAACCATTACATTCAACTCAGAAAATAAGAGCTTTACTATCCAGTTTGCTCCCGGCTGTTCTCGAACTACAAAGTCTGCATGGAAACAGTGTTGTCCTTAGTTCATTTTTCCTCGGTGTCGTTGCGCAGTTTTTCAAATAGTTTTGCAAAATTAGCCTCGCGTAGCCCGCCGCGGAAACTCTGTGCTGCAAAGGCATAGAGGATAGGGTTGAGGCAGCTGCTTACAAAGGCCACCGACCCATGAATGTTGGTTAAAATTTGAATGGACTCAAGTAAGTCCTGGCTGACCTTGGCCTTGGCATACCTCAACAGCAACACGGAGATGGTGATGAGGTTTAAGCCAGCAAACAAAGAAGGCTCCAACTACTGCAACGATCAGCTTCCCGGTTTTCATTTCCTTGTGGTTTTTCAGCGTCCGAATCTTCCTCGCCACGTAAGTGTAGCAGACTGCCAGCACAGCAAAAGGGATCACAAAGCCAAACAGTGTCTCCGCTATGTTAACCATAAGGCGCTGGTTCTCAGTGTCATAAAATTCATCCGAGCATTTTCCTTTAGGCATCTCTCTGGATGAGAATACCAAGGACGGGCAGGAGAGAACCCCAGCTAGCAACCAAACAGCTAGCATGGTCACATGCACCTCCCTTGGCTTCCGCCATCTTTGGGACGCAAGTGGAAGGACCACGGCCACGAAGCGGTGGAGGCTGATTAACGGGATGGAGAAGATGCTGGTGTGGACTGTCACATACACAAGGTACATGAGGAACCGGCACATGGAGTCCCCAAAAACCCAACCTTTGACAAAATAGTAAGTCCAGAAAGGCACAGTCAGCATTACCATTAAGTCAGCCACAGCTAAGTTCAGGATGAGGGCAATGGTGAAGGAGCGCTGGGGGAATTTGGAAAAGATGGTCCAGATCACATTGCCAGTTGCCCCAATCAGGAAGCACACACTGAGGAACACGGTAGGAATCACTTTGGCCTCCAGAGCTTCCGTAGTCTGGTTGGCTGCTGTCCATTGAAGGAGGTTCATCAGGAGTCCATATAGTCTTGTATAAATGTAAGACAGCTTCAAGACAAATGCACAGGATCCCCACTCAGTCAATAAGATCCAGAAGAAGAAGAAGAAGAAGAAGAAGAAGGAGAAGGAGGAGGAGGAGGAGGAGGAGGAGGAGGAGGAGGAGGAGGAGGAGAAGAAGAAGAAGAAGAAGAAGAAGAAGAAGAAGAAGAAGAAGAAGAAGAAGAAGAAGAAGAAGAAGAAGAAGAAGAAGAAGAAGAAGAAAATCTCTTTAGCAGGGGCCAGTTTCCTTTAAAAAGAGGGTTTTTTTAAAAAAAAAAACCACTCAGACTAGGACATTCCGATTGGTTTTGCAAAAGACATACATGAGCAACAGGTTTTCTCTCTCCAGCCCACTTCCTTTCAGAGAATGCTTGCCTATGGCCCAATTCCTAAAAGGTTGAGTAAGTGTTCTGTTTTGACGTCGGCAGTGGCATCACCAGGAAAGCAGGTCTACAGAATGGAACTAAATCACAGGCAACAACACAGGGCATTCCCAGAAAGGGCCCCAGTTAGAGACTCCAGGTTTCCTGGAGAAAGGATGATAAGATGTTACGGGAGACTCCAGGGAAAGAAGCGAAGGCTTAGAAATGGTTGGGTGAAAAGAAGACAGTGGTGATTAGGCCAAGCCTGAAACTTTACTAACGGCCGATACAGAGCTTTGAGTCTGTTGTTCAGCTTGAAAGAAAAAAAAAAACCGTTATGGGAAACAGGTGTTATTTGCAAACTCTGTGGCACTGTTGGTGAAACGTCCTTGACAAGACACCTGCGTCATGCAACCAAAGCTAAATTTACTCTGCTCCTACTATCATCAATCCAAGGATGAGGGGAGGGGAAGTCAACTACACCTGGCGAAGTGCCACGGGTCATAGCAATAAAAACCTAGCCGCAGCCAGGGACCTAAAGCTCCTGGGAGTAGCAACCAAAATGACTTTCCTGTGGCTGGCTCTTACTTACTTTGTACTCCTTGATGTTGCCTGTGGTGAGTAAAGCATGTGTCACCTTTCTAGGTTGGTTGGTTACTTCCTATTCTTTCATCACAACTGATGGAGCATGCAATTCCTATGGGGGGGGCATGCTAAATTCTTTGCTTGCGACACATTAGGCACAAGCACACAACACACGGTGCCTAATTCACAGGCCTGCTTGCACGAAGGTCTTCCCGTGCAAAAAAGAGCAACAGGCTGGGAAAGGCAGAGTGCTTCCAGCTACAACTCGGTGGTGGGGAGCGGGGGGAGGGCAGGGTTCTGGTATTCTTCTTCAAAGAGGAACTGTCAATGATGTCAAGGAGGCACCCAGGTAGTTTCCTGGCAGTTAAAACAGCCCTGCCATTGCCGTCCTGCGAATGCTTTTTCCAACTCCACCAGTGCCTTTTATTAAAAATTGCTCTGCTATCTAATGTTATATGTAGACGATCATATGATTAAATGTACAAGAAGCAATGTGGAGGAGAGTTCATTTAGATTGAAATGGACGTTCACGCGGAGTTAAATCCAGTCTACTTTTGCCCTACTTTGTCTTGCAAATTTTCAGAATGTGGGCCCTGCCACATGCATCAAATCTCAAAGGCCAACTAGGGCATTCTCAACTTGAAAAGATCCTGGAAGAGATCAACCCCGACTGCTCTTTAGAAGGCCAGATCTTGAAGTTGAAACTCAAATACTTTGGCCACCTAATGAGAAGGAAGGACTCACTGGAGAAGGGCCTAATGCTGGGAAAGATTGAGGGCAATAGAAGAAGGGGATGACAGAGAATGAGATGGCTAGATGGAGTCACTGAAGCAGTAGGTGTCAACTTAAATGGACTCCAGAAGATGGTAGAGGACAGGAAGGCCTGGAGGAACGTTGTCCATGGGGTCGCGATGGGTCGGACACGACTTCGCAATTAACAACAACAACAACTTGAAAAATAAAAGTGCCCTATTCTGTAGCCTAATGCGTAACAACCAATCCTTTGCGTGTAGCTGTTGGTTCCTCCGAGCTTGTCAAGAGTAGGCAGCAAGGGAACAAATCTGAACAATCCTCTCCAAGCTTCCTGTCCATCACAGAAGGCTACTCAGTCCAGACCTGAGATACTTAACAGATTCATTCTCCCTTTGTCTTGTCATAGGTTGTGGGATCCCATCCATTAAACCCAATGTGAAAGACACAGACAGAATTATCAACGGGGTGAATGCCATTCGTGGTTCTTGGCCCTGGCAAGTCTCGCTGCAGGTAAGGAGATCCCCCCCCCCCTTGGTCCCTGTTAGGTCAGGAGTGAGGGAGACCTCGCTGCTCTTTTGCATCCAAAGTGAGAAGAATGCCCAAATTAAGTGCCAACAGGACCTGCTTTAGAATTCCTTCGTATCCATACTTGGGACTTGTTCAGGTTGAGAAAGGTGAACTGCAGATTGGTTTTTTTCCTGTTCTGTTTAGTTCAGTCCTCAAAAAAATGAAAAGGGGAAGCGAGGAAGGAAAAATAAGGAACGTATTTTGCTCAACAGCCTGCTTTCTTGATGCATTTTACCCTTCGTGCATTCCAAATCTGTGCTATTTGAATTTTTTTTTCTAGACTAGCTCACGTAACCATTTTTGTGGAGGTTCCCTGATAAATCAGAATTGGGTTGCTACTGCTGCTCACTGCAAAGTGAAGTAAGTAGATCCTTTCCATGTTCTTGTTATATTGATCACGTCCCAGAGGCACCGCGTTTCATCCTCATTTGGAAAGTCCACAAGTCTAAAAGTTGCCAAAGTTGGACAGCCCTGCTCTAAGATTTTATCCCTCCCATAAAAGTGAAAGAGAATTCTAGCCGTGAAAGACCACTCCTTTGGCCTCTGTCCATCAAAAGGTGTTCTCTGATTTAATCATCTCTTTCTCCATCGATATCTCCAAACTATTCTACCCCTTTTCTGAATTACTGAATCAACAAAATGATCTGAGATTCAAGAGTTTGAATCTCAACAGAGGCTATCTATTAATGATAGCCTATTTGTTACGTATTTATGATTTAAGACCTATCACTTTTTTATGTGTGAATACTGAGAATTTATGCACCAGAGACAAATTCCTTGTGTGTCCAATCACACTTGGCCAATATTCTATTTTATTCTATTCTATCCTATCCTGTCCCCATTTCCATATTCTATTCTATTCTATTCTATCCTATCCTAATTCTATTCTATTCTGTCCCCATTTTCACATTCTATTCTATTCTATTCTATTCTATTCTATTCTATTCTATTCTATTCTATTCTATTCTATTTTCTATCCTGTCCTATTGTCTTTTATTCTATTTTCTATCCTGTCCTATCCTATTATCTTTAGCCCACCTCTTCTTGCTCCAGCACTAAGGGACTGATTTACAGTATGTCTCAATGCTACATTCAGTTTAGCTGCATGTACGCATCAGAGGGAAGAAGGGTCACAGTAGCACATTAGACATGGTTTGTGTTTTTATTTCTCTAGAGCGGGAACACATTTTGCTTACTTTGGACTGTATAACAGATACGATAATGCTGCGCCAGCCCAACGGCGATCCATAGTCAAGGTGAGCGGCTCATTTGGGACCATGTCCAAATGTCCAAAGAGTGCATCATGCAAGGGAAAGTACATTTAGGCATCGGGGATAGAAGTGAGATCACGTGATCAACATCTTTTGGGGGGGGTCCTCCCTCCCCAGCAGCTTCTAATCATATGTGGTTTGTAATGGAAACAATTTAAAATTATTTATTGATGCTCATCCCACAGAGCGATGCAACCCCATAGTGGTGGATGTCATGACAAACAGTTATGCTAAGCCATGGCTTGTTGGCCTAATTTGTTCACTGTACATTAAGTTATAAAATCTGGTTTGCAAATTAGGGCAGTTGGCTTTGCTAAGCCTTATTTTCTTTCTCCTTGTGACTTATTTTCTTTTAGGGATTCTAAACAAAGGAAAAGATAGCAGTCACACAATCTGTGATTTTAAATTAAGATCTGAAGGCGACATACAGAAACCAGATATTTCCATTCAGAAATATCAGCAGTTGTCAGTCTTGCATAATCGTATTGGCCTAATCCAGAGAGTGATGGACTTTTAAGATCTTAAATCAAGCAAAGGCTAATCTTTTAAGGTTTCTCCTCCACTCCTGCTGTTTTCCAGGTGATCACCAATCCTTCCTGGGACCCTTACAATATAAATAATGACATCACCCTCCTGAAGCTTTCTGCTCCAGTACAGCTGAATGCTTATGTGTCTCCAGTCTGTCTGGCTTCTTCCAATGAGGTCTTACCCGCAGGTTTAAAGTGTGCCACAACTGGTTGGGGACGGGACAGACTGTCTTGTAAGTGACCATTTGGAATCAGGCAGGCTGAGAAAAGCCAAAACACAAAGCCTGCCTTCTTTCATTCAATCTGAGAAATTCCAGCTGGTTGCTTCCTCCACACTGATTTCTTTCTCTTTCTTTCTTTTTCTTTCTGACAGCAAATGAACCTGCAACCATATTGCAGCAAGTCTCTCTTCCCCTGGTGCCGTCAAATGAGTGCCAGCAAAAACACTCCAACACTATCACCAGTTCTATGATATGTGCCGGTGGAGCCGGTGCCACGTCCTGCCATGTAAGGTTCTCGGTAAAAAGCAGGGGGTTGGACTAGATGACCTCCAAGATCCCTTCCAACTTTATTATTATTATTATTATTATTATGGATCATCGCACAGTCAGCTAGATGTTCAGACTGGATTTGGCATTTTGTCTACCTATCGAGTCCTTACCCAGGACCTGGGATAGGCAGATGTGGATGTTTGATGGTATTACAGATATCATCGCAGGATGGAAGCAGTTCCTAGTAAGGCAGCCTTTTGCAATTGACTAATGGCAAATTTGTCAATGCCGATGGTGTTCAAGTGGTGCTCCAGTTGTTTTGGGATTGCACCCAAGGCGCCTATTACTATTGGTACTACCCTGGCTTGCTTTTGCCAGTTTTTCTATTTCTATTTGTAGGTCTTTGTATTTTGTTCTCTTCTCCAGTTGTTTCTCGTCTATTCTGCTGTCTCCAGGCACTTATTATTATTATTTTATTGTTATTGTTATTATTACTATTATATTTTTATTATAAGGTTAGCGGGGCAGCGTATTAAACTCTGAGAGGAAGGTTCTTGGTGTGCAGCCATGAATTTTATTTTGGCAAGGAGGTTATTGGAGGAAGTCTTAAGAGTTCCACTCACTCAAAGAATACCAGAATGACAATCGTGATCTAAAGATAAGGCGCTGAAGAGCTTCAAAGGGTTGTGTTTTTTTAAAAAGATCAAACAAATCTTCTTTGGGTTGAGGTCAACTCCTGGTGGCATCACGGACATGACTATGTCATTTCCTTGGCACGGCTGTCTTCTTCCAGGATGCTATTTCGGTTTTCCAGTCTCGCTGCAATCCTGGATTTCCCCAGAGGCCTCTTCTTCAAATACAAATTGGGCCGTCTATCAGAGATTCTCAGTCATCCAAGTCAAGTTTGTCCCGAAGATGCTTTTTCAAAAGGCAACTGGACTTTCTTTGTTTTTTTTTCCTGGAAGACGTTTTGCTTCGCGTCCAAGAAACTTGGTTGGATGAAAAGCGAAAACGTCTTCCAGGAAATAACACAGAAAGTCCAGTTGCCTTTTGAAAAAGCACCTTTGGGACAAATTGGGCTCCACCTGGGTTAGTTTTCCTGACTCCAGGCAGAAAAAAAAAGAGGTTTTTTTCCTTAAAAGCATTTGCTTTTCTTTCCTGTCCTTTCAGGGGGATTCTGGTGGCCCTCTGGTGTGCCAGAAAGGCTCAGCTTGGTATCTGATTGGGATCGTCTCCTGGGGAAGCCCCAGCTGTAACGTCCGGACTCCTGCTGTGTACACCCGAGTCTCCAAATTCCGCAACTGGATTGATCAAGTAGTAGCTAGAAACTGACGACCTCCCTGGGAGACACAAGACAAACGCCGTCACTGGGATTGCCCCGCAACGTAGGAAATATATTAACACACGTTCTTGCAACTGAGATATGGAAAAAAAAAACAACAACACATGGGCTTTCATTTCAAAGAAAAAAATCTTCCTCCAGTGATCCTCTGTCATAATAAAAGGAAGACTACAATAATCCTCGAGGTGCGATGATTGATTTAGCGGCCGTTCAAAGTTGTGACATAATCCCCTCCCTCAAATACTTACGACACAGTCCACTAAGTTGAGATCAGAAGTGCATGTCCTCATCTGAAAAAGCCTGCCTTTTATTACAGCATGTGTTACAACCACACACGCGTGCGCACACACACACACACAAATCCTTCACCACTCTGTGAGGATCAACGGTTTACTGAATAAAAGGTTACAGTTCCAAATTTTAAAAACAGACTGAATACACAAAATAAATAATTCCATACACTAAATTTCAACATTACAGGTTAACTGTCATGCATCAAATCACCCTCTAAAAAGGTAGAGATTCCATCGTGTAAAAAAAAATCCCCAAAGGCACCAAAGACAAAAATCACAGATATGACTACTCGGGAGAAAAGTAGGGCAGAGAAGCCGCGTAAGGGAAGTCCTAGAAACAATTATTTTTGACAACGTTGATGTTATGGCAGTGAGGCGAAGTATCTGTAAAGTCAGACTAAGTTCATTTAATCCTGCCTTGCAGGATTTCCAGAGGAGACTGTAGTGCAGGGCTATTCAATCTTGCTAACTTTTTAAGACCTGTGGACTTCAACTCCCAGAATGCTCCAGCCAGCCATGCTGAGTTGAAGCCCACAAAGTTGCCAAGGGTAACACATCCCTGCCCTAGTGCCAAAAGTGACACATTCACAGCACACAGATATTGGCAGGAAAGCAGCAGGATATAACCGGGGGGGGGCTGCTGGAGTACAGAATATTTGGAAAGTACCCCCTCCCCTAACCCCAATTGTATTGATCTGAAAGGAATAACCTTATCCAAAAAAACCAAACAATTTTCCGTTGGGTTCCAGACAGCCCTGAGGTCCTTGGAAAGTCTATCAAGCCTTAATTGGTGACAAAAACTCTTTAACGGTTCTCAATGAAACCCCAGCAATGTACAGCTGCTAACACACTCTCTGTACACAGAACTACAGGACACCCTCGACTTAACAACCACAACTGTGACCTAAATTTTTCTGTGGTTAAAGGAACCATGCCCCATTTTACAATCTCTGTTGCCGCCGTTGTTAAAGCAAATCATTGCAATGATTCAGTGGGTCACGAAGGCTTTCCCCACTGACTTTGCTTGTGGGAAAGTTGCAGAGGGTGAGACGATGACTACGGGACAGCGCAACTGTTGCGAATACATCCCGCTTGCCAAGGGCCTGAATTTTGATCCCATCACCCTGGGGATTCTACAACCTAAGCGTGAAAAAGTGTCCCAAGTCACCCTTTTCAGTGCTGTTCTAACTTTGAACTGTCACTAAACAAATGGTTGTTAAGCCGAGGACTACCGTACTTGTTAGTATCTTGGCCAGCTACTATCTATTTAGCACAGGGGTGTCAAAGTACCGCAACGTCACGTGATGCGTCGCGGCTTTTTCCCCATTGCCGGAGCTGGGGTGGGCGTGCTTTCAGCATGACGCATGCAGCCCGTAGGCCGGCAGTTTGACACCTCTGATCTAGCACTTCAGTGCATCTCTAAGACTGCCTCCTTAAGATAAATGGTTTGGAAAAAAGGTGGCTTGCTGAACCGAGCTGAGAAAAATTAAAAGCAGGGCAGGCACCAGGTTTTTCTCTAACCTTTCCAAGGGCGAATTTCACATTTTGTTGGTATTGTTTCTGCTTCCGTGACATCAGATGGGGCCCAAAGAGACAGCCAGCAGTCCAAAAACGGCCACTCAGATTTGTAATGGTTTCCCCCACTCCTTGGAACAAAGGGGTCCCTTGTGTTACATCAAACTTCCTTTGACACACTGAGTTTCAAAAGCCATCTGTAACACAACATGGAGAGAAAGGGAACTAGTCTGGATTTACTAAGTGTGCATCATCAGCAAAGTGGTTCTTTGGACTATGACTCGCTGTAATTCAGTCCTGGGTTTCCAAATGACTAAGTGGTTTAAATAAGGCACTAAAGTGGCAAAATGGCATTTATATCACTCTTGAGATAAAGGCAAGTTTTTGAAAGTTTTGGCAAAGTTCCAGGGGTGGATTTATGCATCTGATCCCATTCCCAAATGCGTTTTCTTGAAGTTCTCCAACTGCTGAATTCTGCTTACAAAGCCTTAGAAGAACACAAGACTACTTTAATTCCATCTTCATCCCCGTATTGACCCATCAAAGCTTCCACTCACAACAATCCTGGTCATTTACGAGACGAACATTTAAAGGCCGACTTAGGCATTATGGCAGATGTAGAAAGCCTGCTTAAAATGATCTCCTGTCATATCCTCTCCACCGGTTGCAGGGAAAAATCCATGTTGGTGCACCACAGGTTAGTAAGCAGAGGAAGACTGTGGTCCTCACCAGGAGAGGACTATCTTGCTGGCAATAATTTCACGAGAAGTGCCGCTCTGACTGGCTTGTAAATTACTGTACAGTCCCAGTCACATTTCCAAATTCGATTTTTCTTCCACTGGAGAATAAAGTCATTAAAAAGCCAGAAGTGTTAAAGCACTGTCTTGGGATTCAGTGGAAATGTTGGGAAACGTTGGAATTTGTGCTTCAAATGATGGGAAATGTCGAAACACGGGGCTCGTAGGAAAACGTTATAAAATTATTGGGATAGGATAAAGTGCAAGAGTTCCTGATTTAAAAAAAAAAAAGAGTTGACAGTTTAAAGGTAAGACAACCCTTAGTCTTCATAATTAGAGTGTCTGATAAAAGCTAAATATCCTGACATTGTGGAATACATAGATGCTTGGCTCCAGACAGTCTTCTTTCAAATCGCTCTCCTAGAAAAAGATCTCATGTTTCTTCCTACTCGGCAGTAACACAATGACACTTCTTACTGTGGCCCTAGTCCAATGAGCCCTTAGAAGGTGACAGGAAGAGACTGACATAAAGGACCCACTGATATTCAAATTCAGGACTTAAAGAGAAAATATTTCTAGTGGCAAAATGTGGGCTAGAAGTGACTTCTAATCTATAGCATCTCCTCAAAGTCCCACTGTTAGCAAATCCGAGCGTAACCCCCACTTTGCATTCTTTCTCCCAAGACACGGATGGATTTCAAACTAACTGCACTTTTTAACATAGTGTCGCTAAGTTCCAGTATATTTACAATGCTTAGTTTTTCCAAGATTGAGAAAAGGGAGCTTGAGCAAGGGCACAACCTAATCTCAGGATCAGGACAGTATTCAAGGGTTGTTATTGCATACATATGATAAATCAACTTAGCAGCTAAACACCAAAAGGAATTGCAATGGGAGAGGAAGAAGTGTGGATTAACAGTTATGCCACATCCAGGATAAACATCATTTTTCTTCTCTTAGGAATTGTGGCGTGCGTTTAAAAACAAAAATCCCACTTTGTGAATGATTTGCTTATCATTATAAAAGGCTTAGCAGGCTACAGTTAGCCATCCTTCGCAGAAATCTCTCGCCTCTATGCTTAGATAGCAATGATATCCATGGACAATCAGGGGGTCAAATTGACATCTTATCCAGAAGGAATGGAACAAAGAAGAGTCTTAAGAATTTTCTGAAGAGTCAAATAAATACTGCAAAGGCCAATGTCCATAGAAATTCTCACTCGGGTCATGGTTGTCCCAAAGGTGCTTTTTCAAGAGACAACTGGACTTTCTTTGAAAAAGAAGGAGCACCTTTGATGCAAACATCAACGTGAAATTTGGTATGGCCCAACGGCTAGCAAAATATGATTTAAGGCATGCCAATTATGGTAAACAATAATAGGATATGAAGTCAAGCGTTAATAGACGTTTGCACTAACTGATCTGACAGGCAAGGGTGTCCTGAACCACTAGATGGCACCCTGACCTGAGAAACCAATTCTACCCAAGGTGTGCTTAGTAACAGGAGTAGAGATGAATCCAAAGTGTAATAACTGCATTGCTCAAGTAAATGTAAAAAATGAGCTGCAGGGACACCTCTAGAATCATCACTCACAGGAGTAAAAAGTACCGTATATGCCGGCGTATTAGGCGACCCGGCGTATAAGACGACCCCCGTCTTTATAGCCAGGCCGCATTCCTAGAACGTCGTCTTATACGCTGGAAACTACCAGTATTTCCGGCGTATAAGACGACCCCCGTCTTTGGTGCCGATTTCAGTGCTCGCGGAAGTCGTCTTATACGCCGGCATTTACGGTATCTTTAGGCTCATAACGCTCATAAAATCCAGCGGCATTTAACTGCCCAACGTGATAAAATCCCTTGAATAGCAAGACTGATGAAAATGCTAAACTTTAAACCGCCAGTTAATGATCATTAAAGAAATCTGTGTTGGTTGCAAAACAGGAGCTGCCAGAGGGTATAAAGACTTGGTTTCTTGATAAAAAAGCACTTTTTAGCTGTCTTGGCCACAATTCTAACCTGGAAAAGGAGAGAAAAAAGATCAAGAGGACAAAAAGATCAACTAAACGCCACTTGGGCTGACGTAGAGGATTAAAAGCATCTCTGGATGGTTATTTTCAAAGCTAGGTTCAACTACTTGGGAAACTCCAGATGGTCTTTTGCCAGCCTTTGCTTCACAGGGGAGTCTTCCTATGCTGCAGAACGAGGTCGCAGAATTAATTGGACCACTTCACCATGCAGGCAGGGGGTGCCACTCTGAATCCATTCCCACAGCCTGCAAATCTTTTTGCTAATAAAGATCTGGTGCCTCTGTTCCCTGATGTGCTAGTTTTGTACGTGCAGGTTGATGCACTGTCTATATGGACCCATTAAAACCAGATTCTCCACGCCATTTGAAATTAAAGGATTGATGCTATCGTCAAAGTTCCATTTGGCTGCATATCAGGCTTAAACAAGGATCGAAGAATGCAACTTTCCTTCAAGTTGGTTAATGATTTTGAAGATACATTTTGATAAATGTGCAAATCTTCTTGTTATAATCATTTGCATTGCTTCACCTGGTTTTATTTAAAACATGGCTACGGTAGATTACTGGTTTTGGTTTCAGACTCTTTGTTTGCAACTGTAGAATTTTTTTTTTTTAAGTGGGTTAATCCTTGGGGGTCTGTGCAGTGTAGAATATTTGTGGATCTCATTAAACTATGTAAGTTAATGAGTCTAAGCTGTATTCTCTGCACATTCTATAGGCAGGCACAACAGTCAAACTTCGACCACAACATTTGATGAGAGTTTTCTACTGCTCATTCTGTCATTGTAATAGGACATCTACTGGTAGCATATGATGTTGGAAGACAAAGTTGTTAAGGTTCTTGCAGTCTCTGGGAATGTGGAATGCTGATCCACATCCTGCAGCTATGGCTGACTTGGAATGATAACAAGGATTATAACAATTCATCCCAGCATTAAGTGGGGAAAAAAACCACCCAAAATGAAGATCAAAGCAATGCCACTAATACATAAGAGGCAAGAAGGAAGAACAAAGCTCATCCCAAGCCATTTCCAGCTAAATGTTGGCCCAGATCTAGAGAACATCCCCCCCCCCAAACTTTAAATGTTACTAGAATCTCTAGGAAAAAAAAGTTTAGCATAGTCCAAGAGGTCACACTGGTAAAGAAAATTGATCATCCCTTTGTGCACTCCTGGAAGTGCCTCGAGCTCCAGGTGATTCCAGATCTTAAGCGTGAGCCTAGTGTGTATTCCTATACGCATCTATGCAGAAGTCAGCCCCATTAATTTAATCAAGCTTATTTCCAGGTAAGTGGGCAGAGGATCGCCTTCTAATTCTCTCAACCATCAGACACTGTGCCAACAACAATGGACTTTTGGCATTAAATAAGCAGTGGTAGCGAAGATTTTAAACTGAGTAAGGATTCTCCCTTTCATGGGTTTCCAGTATTTCAGACCATCAGATCAGGACTTGACCCCGGGAAGGTCAAAAACAGACATTCCTCATTTCCCACCATGGCAGAGGTACTGCATTTTCTCAAAGGCGCCAATGTCCCAAGATATCCATTGCTTTCAAAACAGAAAGACAGACACAAAGACTGAGCTTCCAGAGAAGAAATAAGGCAGTTGGAGCACTGGGTGGGCATCCTGCGGAACGCGCCCCAGGGACGAAAAGAAGGAAGTGAAATGGTCTCTTGTTGAGCTGTCAGCCATTGTACTGTTGCTGATACCGCAAATTCAGTTCTCGCAATTCCCTCTCCCGCACCCGGCGAGACTTGTTGGATTTGGTGGAACGGCTGGAGCGGGTGGACTGAGCTGATTTGGTGCTTTGGCAACGAGACGACGCCCTCTTGAGGAGGTTCTGAGAGATGGAGCGGTGCAGGTTCTTCATGGAAGACGAGGCCGCCATGCTTACCACCCAGGGATGCTTTAAGGCTTGAAGTGCTGTCAGCCGGTCGCCGGGATCCACCGTGAGCAGGCGGTCAATGAAATCTTTAGCAAGATTGGACACGCTGGGCCAGGGCTGAAAATTAAGGAGAAACAAAGGAATGGGGAAAACATTAATTGTGGTTAGAATGCAGCAATGCAGGCTAACTCTGCCCACAGCCCAGCATTCGATCCGGACGGGGCTCAAGATGGACTCAGCCTTCTATCCTTCCGAAATAGGTAAAATGAGGATCCATATTGTTGGGGGCAATATGCTGACATTGTAAACCGCCCAGAGAGTGCCATAAAGCACTAGGGGAAGCAGTATATAAATCTAAGTGCTATTGCTATTAAAATTGGCAATAAGCAAGCCAACTTGTTTTTCTTTAAATATGGAGGTTTCTCCTTTGCACTTGCAAGCACCACATCGTTTGCTCTACCTGAGAATTCCTTTGTCTATGGATTTCCAACTATGACTTACGTTGGATTTTCCCTAACCAAGTGATTCCCAGGGATGACCATTGCAAACTGTAGCTCCAGAAGTCGAGTAAAACAGGGGTCCCCAACCCCTGGTCCAGGGACCGATATTGGGCCACAGCATGCCAGCAACCGGGCCGCGCAAACAAGCAAAGGCCCATGCGCGGGATGCAGGCAGCACACAAAACCACCCCCCCCCCCAGTCTGCAGAAAAATCTCTCTCCATATAACTGGTCCCTGATGCCCAAAAGGTTGGGGACCTCTGGAGTAAAACATCAGTAGGGACTGAGAATGGGATTGTGGTTAGAGTGTAGTATTAATGGATATTCAATAACACCTGAGATTAGATAAAAAATCTGTTTAATATCTATTGTGGTCTCTCAGCACTCCTTCCAGACATAGAATTATTGACCGTCTAATTAGACGGATACACAATTTATACTACTGGTGCTTAGCACAAATACATTTCCAACAGCAGCAATGCCAAGAGGAAAAGGAGAACAAAGTACCATACGGCTCCTGCAATCTCACATTTGCACAGAACCCATGGTGAAACATAACTCTTTATCTACCATTTGATTAACTATGTTATTATTATGGGCATCACAGTAATATCCAAAATAAGAATTTGTTTCATCTTCAAGAATTTGGTATTGCCTTCTCTCTACAAAACAATTCCCTATTCAGGAGTAAATAAACAGTTATTACCTCTCTTCTTGATCTAGATTTTGTACCTAAATAGAACAAAACAAAAATCGGACCATGTTTGTAGTTAGGTGTTCGGTGAGATCACGTACTGCTAGAATGTTAAAAATGCTAATTATCATCATCAAATAATTTAAATTTAAAAATACTAATTATCATCATCAAATAATCAGTGCTGATGTTTTAATGTAATTTGAACAATTTAACCAACCGGTGTTATTTTAACCAAAATGTGAAGCAACTCCTGAGTAGGGAACTGAGACAGGGAGCAATAAATTATCCCCTTCAATCTGACAAGCGAGTCAGCATTACCGGCTCAGTTAAGGGGCGCTAAACAGGAACAAATTCTCAAAACAAGGAAGAATTGGATTTCTTATCCTTTCAATTACTTTGCCACCCTCTGAAATGGTAAGCAGAGAGCACTAGTAATTAGAAATCTCTTCTAGTCAGCAAACACAAATTAGTTTATTGATCTGTTTATCTTGCTGGAGGCTTCACCTGCTGTACAGTATGTATCTTTGGCTTAATTTAATTAAGCTACCCTTCTGAAGAAAAGGGAAAAAAATATATAAGCCCTATTAAGGTTAGAAGTGAAATGAGCTTACTAGCTTCTTTGCCTGCTGCCCATTAAAATGATCCGTTTCATTTTCTAGGATGAAATGAGAGGACCATGGCAAGCTGGCCACAGGATCTCAAGCTCGTGAGCTTAATATTACTTCTTTGTAATATTTTTTTTTTTTTTAGTATTTGCTCAAGCAGAGCTACATTAGATGCAATGTCAAAACATGCCTTTGAACTTATTCTTATGGTAACCACTTAAATTTCAAGCAAGGAAAAAAGATGATTGGTATGCAACAAGTTCATGGATAGGAAAGCGGGTGGGCACATCTCCCCATCTGAATTTTAAACCAAATCAGACCCCACATAATAATGTTGCTTGAATATCGTGGCTTAATAAGATGGCTTAGGTCACACCACATGAGGCCAAGACAATGGTTCGGTTCCAAAAGCAGAACCACAGGTTATTCAATGTCAACTTATCCTTGCCTGACTAGGTGCAGCATGGCGCCTAGTCAACCATGCAAGGGTTACATCCATTTTAGTCTGGAGCGGGTAAACCCATAGGGAAAAAATGTGCTACAGTATTTGCAAAGTTGAGATATACCTTAAAGTTCTAATCAGCTGGAATTCCAGTTCCAATTCCCAAAATTGACTCCTTTCTTCCTCTTTGTTGTTCCAAGCGGTAGATAAAATCCAAAGCTGTTGCTATAAACATTCAGAGCCTCATTAGTGGGCTTTTGTGTGGTGATAAGGTTCCAATAGTAAGCACAAGCACCAAGGACAGAAAACGCTTGAAATTCATTATTTTACCTGGTGATTTATACTGTGTCGGTCATGGTTCCTGATAGCCATGCTTTGGTTAGAGCAGTGATGGCGAACCTTTTAGAGACCGAGTGTCCAAAGTGCAACCCAAAACCCACTTATGCATCATCGGGTGCCGGGTGGGTGTGGCCCATTGGGTGGGTGTGGCCCATTGGGTAGGCGTGGCTGCGGTGGTAAAGCAGACTGGGTGGGACTAAAAAGTGCAATCAATCAATTCCAACTTTGCAAGATTTTTTTTTTCCTGCAAGAAGTTGAAATTGACTGATTGATTGAACCTTTTCTTTTTTTGCACACGGCAGGGGAGGCCTAAAGCAAAAAGGTTTTATAAAACCCAGCTGAAGGCTTAAGACTGGGGTGATGGCGCGCATGCCCACAGAGAGGGCTCTGAATGCCGCCTCTGGCACCCGTGCCATAGGTTCGCCACCACTGGGTTAGAGCTTCATAATGATTTCCTGAAGGGCTATATCCGGTCTTTCAAAAACAATGTAATGTACTCATTCAGTTATTCACAATCAAAGAATGATGTACTGGAAACTATAACATGCATGACATCCCTAAATCCTTTGTTAATTCATTTCTATTTTACTCTTCTGCCTTTTTTTTTCTTATTTCCTTATGTATCTTCTTTAAAATGCAAGGTTTTGCCAATGGGTCTGAGGAACCCAGAGTGGGATGCGGGCAATCAGACGGCTTGTTTGACTGACTGCTGTCACCAGGGGAGGTGAGGGGGGTTATTGTTTTTATTGTTCTATGCTGGCTTTTTATTTTTTGTAAGCCGCCAAGAGTCACTGAGAGTGAGCGGGCAGCAATATAGATTTTCTAATCAATAAATAATAGTTAATTGTCCTTTTAGAAGGGGGGGGGAGAAAAGGTTCCATCGCACCTATCAGAACATTCTTTCAAGGTTTCAAAGATGCTCCAATTGGCTTAGTGGGAAGTTAAACTTAGGAGCAAGGTTTAAGGTTGACTGAATATTGAAAACAGAACTTGCTGTTCTGTGGTCATCCTGGTTAGCTTTAACTCCTGGCCAGTCCTTCTCTGTCAACCTAATCCATTTCACAAAGTTGCTGTCTGCGGATAAAGCTGGGAGTGAGTGAAGGTTCAATGAATTTCCAAGAAAGGATAAGATATAAATGTGACCAGTGGTCACATAATGTGACCACATTATTTATATATATATATATATATCATATAATGTGACCACATTATACTGTAAATCAGGGGTCTTCAAACTTGGCCCTTTGTGACTTGTGGACTTCAACTCCCAGAATTCCTCAGCCAGCCCTGAGTTCTGGGAGTTGAAGTCCACAAGTCATAAAAGGGCCAAGTTTGAAGACCCCTGATTTACAGTATAATATGAAATAGAGTAGAGCTTCAAAAAATTGCCATTCTATTTCAGTTTGTATGACTGGACAGCTCAAGGAGTCCCAAGTATTAGGATCAGGCTCAGGGGAAACACAGGCTTAAATATATTGACTGAAACAAGCAAAATTCTTGTTCTGCACACCAGAGAAAAGAAATAAGTACTACTAAGTAACAGAGTGCTGGTGAAATGGTCGCAGTCAGCAAAAGACTTAGCAAGCTAAACAGTGAGAAATTGTATAATATACTGCCTGGGACATTTGAAAGCTATAGCTGATATTTACAGTAGCTTAACAGGCACTATCTTCTAATGAGTCTTGTGTCTATTTTGTCCAGCTCACCTTTAACCATGCATATCTTTGACAATAAATAAATGACCATGCTGTAGAGTAGCCATATTATACGTCCAAAAGTGTCACAACCGTGTTAAGAAACAATCCATAGCACAAGTCACTTGGCAAAATCATCCAGAATGCTTCTTTCATATCTGCCACCCTTATGGATCTGTGAATGTTTTAACAGCCAAACAAACCAAAATGAAATTTTCACGGAGGCTTCTCCAATCGTATGTATTTAAAGGGGGGAAAAGATTAGGGTATTTATTTAAGAAAATGTATATAGCCACCCAACTCATGGTCCAGAACTCCGGGTTGAAGGCAAAATAAATTAGTTTTATTGCTGGGATTAATCCCAATTAAACCATTTCCGTTCTCACGGTCAACATGGAGTGGGCAAAATTCAAGTCCACAAAAGTTTCTAGCCCAAATACAGCCTTCCCCATCTTCATGTACAATCTTCTAATTAACTTCGGCCGAGGTTGCAGGCAAATAGGCCTGCGGCCATTTCAACTTTGAAGGACCACAGACACGGAACAAATCTCTACTTTCTGCCCAGTGCATCAGATCTGCAATCAGATCAGCACAAAAGGGAGCAAACTCTATGTACATTAGTTGGTGAGATGGACAGCTGCATTAAAGATAGGGTGAAAAGAAAAGAAAGCTTCAGAGTGCATTTGTCAGGATGACCTCAGGGATGGAAGCATCTTATTTCAAGCTCCATTCAATACTTCTCTTTTTTTAAAAAAAAAAAATGAAATAAAAAGGCAGAACACTCTGCCTTTTCAACAGAGTCCCTTGAGATCGCATGAAGCCTCACCATCACCGGCTCAAT